AGTTTCAAGGATTTCAGCAGTTTCAAGATTTCAAGAGTTTCAAGGACTTCAACAGTTTCAAGGACTTCAGCAGTTTCAAGGACTTCAGCAGTTTCAAGGACTTCAGCAGTTTCAAGGACTTCAGCAGTTTCAAGGACTTCAGTGTAATCATGCAACCTAATAGGGATTTTTCCATGTAAACCAGTATAATGCAACTTAATAGGGATTTTTCCATGTAAACCAGTATAATGCAACTTAATAGGGTTTTTTCATGTAAACCAGTATAATGCAACTTAATAGGGTTTTTTTTCATGTAAACCAGTATAATGCAACTTAATGGGGATTTTTCCATGTAAACCAGTATAATGCAACTTAATAGGGGTTTTTACATGTAAACCAGTATAATGCAACTTAATAGGGTTTTTTCCATGTAAACCAGTATAATGCAACTTAATAGGGTTTTTTCCATGTAAACCAGTACAATGCAACTTAATAGGGATTTTTCCATGTAAACCAGTATAATGCAACTTAATGGGGATTTTTCCATGTAAACCAGTATAATGCAACTTAATGGGGATTTTTCCATGTAAACCAGTATTATGCAACTTAATAGGGATTTTTCCATGTAAACCAGTATAATGCAACTTAATAGGGATTTTTCCATGTAAACCAGTATAATGCAACTTAATGGGGATTTTTCCATGTAAACCAGTATAATGCAACTTAATAGGGATTTTTCCATGTAAACCAGTATAATGCAACTTAATAGGGTTTTTTCATGTATAATGCAACCTAATAGGTTGCATTATACCACCAGACCAAGACCCAAACGAAGACTCAGACCACCACCAGATAATGACCACAGACCAGGTTTCCTTAGTTACAGGAACCAAATTGTTTCAGCGGTGAGGGGATTTTTCAGTTTCAAGGACACTTTCAATACATTCAGTAGTTTCAAGGATTTCAGCTGTTTAAGAATTTAACCAGTTTCAAGGATATCAGGAGGTTCAAGGATTTCAGGAGTTTCCACACTTTCAACAGTTTCCAGGTTTAAAAAAGTTTCAAGGATTTCAGGAGTTTCAATGTTTCAACAGTTTCAAGGATTTCAGGAGTTTAAAGGTTTCAACAATTTCAAGGACTTCAGGAGTTTCAAATATCTATCAAGTATTTTAACAGTTTCAAGGCTTTTTAAAGGATTTCAAGGATTTTTTTTAGCAGATTTCCACATTAGATCTGTTCCGCAGTCAATCGCAATGGCTTCAGCCATTGCAAGTTTCTAGTTGAAGTATTGATCTTTGAATTCATAACAATACAATTATTACAATTGCAGTCGATTCAGATTGAATTAAAGAATGTGCAGTGTGCATTGAATTGGATGAACCAGTGGTGGGCAAACCCCGGCCCATGGACCAGATGTGGTCCTTTGGACATTTCTGATAGGCCACTGAGCCCTCCTCAGTTTACGTAGATATAGTAAGACTCGAAAATCCCTCTGTGCCTTGTGCAGAACTTTGGAGCCACAGTCCCACTCCCCGTTCTGCCGCAAGATTTCATATTTTTTATGAAAAATTCAGTTGTACAAAAATAAGCCTGAGAAATACAGTGGAAACTGGTAGGGCCCCCATGAGCAGGCTGAGAATCCAATGTGGCTCTCAGGAGGAAAAGATTGCCCATGTCTGTTAATAAGGACTAAATACAGCTGGGTTTTTTTGTCATGCTCGACCTGTGTGTGTCTGTTTCTGTCAGAGGTTCATGGTCATGGCTCATGCAACTTCGCCGCCAAAATCATACTTCAAAGATTTTATTTTTTATTAAATTCTGGATAAGACTATATTCAGATTCAGATTCAGATTCATTTATTTGCCATTTGCAGTAAAACCACAAAACTGTGCAAGACTACCCCAGTGTGCACCAGACACACACCAGAGCTCTTGCCATATATTGTTACATTTTTTTCTGAACTTATTTGATTGTTATTGTATTATGCTTTTAAGAAATCTGCTGTTCAAAGTAACTTTACCCATATAATTACGAGCAACGTATCTAAATGTAGTAGTGAGGTGACTTTGGGTGAAGAGGCTACAGCAGATTGATGGGCAGCTGATCTTGACAGTACAGATTGGATGAGATCTTGGAGCAGGACTTTAATTGGTTTTGGCAAAGGTCTTCAGCAAGTTCACATCAAATAAGAAGTGATCTGGTAGAGTCATCATGTTTTTGGCCGAACTAGCCTTTGGAAAGCAAAATCTCTCACGTCGACTTTGAATCAGAACTTGACATTTGGTGCTGTGTAAAAAAGTTGAATAACTACATCCCATTTTGGTTCTGATTACCATTCCATTAGCACTCATTTGTCTTATCTTTTCTAGACTAACTGGCAAATAAAGTTTACACAAATACATTAAGAGCTTATCCACTACCTGCATTGATTAGGAGGGAGCATGAATAGTCACATAGAAGCAATCCACTCTAACAGCATCTAATTTACAAATGTAAATGAGGAAACACAAAATCTTTAGAGAGAAGCAGAAGTGTATCTTGGTGGGATAGCTGGAACATGACAGCTCCCTGACTGACCCCACGCTGATCACCAAATGTGATGGTCCACTCCTGCTGCTCTTTTTGCACAATAGAAGATTGAACCACGACTATCATAAAAAGGGGGAGGGGGTGGATCTGCATCATTGAATTCTGGCACTATACGCTACTTACGATGTCTTGGAATTGTAGATCTATTGTATATTATGTGGTCAGACAATTACAATCCAGTCTACTATATGGGCTTTCTTGGAATATTAAGAACTCACTCAACCAATCAAATGCTCAGTTAGTCCTTGTGGCAGTAGTGACATCACCAGCAGTGTCGGGCTCGGTTCCTGCTGTGGCTTGGGACCAATAGGGCCTTCTGCTGGCCGTGTGTGTGCATATGCTGTGAGTGCATGTGTGTGTGTGTGTGTGTGTGTATTTCACTCTCTCCTGTCTGTTTGGAGCACTGTGGGAGAGGTGGCCTATAGGGCATGGCTCACATTCAGAAGCAGCCCTTTAGATGTGTCAAAAAGCAGGCACAGTAAGGGGACAAAAGCGTGACATAAAGAGTAAGACAACAGCTAAGATTATACGTAAGTGTGATGTACGAATCACACATATGCACCTGAATCAAAGCGAAGACAATGGCAACATTATTCTAGGCTTACGTGATGATAAGAAACACATTTTTAAAAGTCCTAATTATCAATGTTCCCTACACCAGCAATGTTGTTTGTCAGGTCTCCCAGTGGAAGTGTATTGGCTTGACCGATGCATTCAGACTTCACTGTTTGTTTTGTTTCATGTTGGGACAGCGGGTGTCGGCCAATTCAGCCAATTCAGCCAATTCCCCCATTCATCTATTCCATTGTACTTCTTATTGTCCATGAACAAGATGGGCAGGAGAGAGATGAGTGGGCACTTTTCTGTCTGCTTGGGTCTTTGAAGTTTGAACTTTGAAGAAACTCTTTTAAGGTGGTCTGTAGCTTATAGGAGGTGTGCTTTCACGAGAGGATGTTTTGGGAACACCAAGATTATGCTCTCTTTCTCACAGAAAATTTTCAAGAAAATATAACAGTGTTCAAAACTCTTTGAAAGCAATACCCTGGGACAACTACAAGTGTTCAAATGTGAAAATAACAAAAGCAGTGTGTTTGAAAGCTGGTGTACCTAGTGTCTTTGCATCATAAATAATACATTTTGTTTACCCCCAACAGATTATTTCAAATCAAACCACTCCATGCTGTCTTCCATTTATTAAAGAAAATGTCTTATTTAGAGAAACTTGTAAGAAAGAGCCCTGTGAGCCACTCTTTGACGCTTTGGGTTGAAAACTGATTGGCAGAGTGAGGGTGGTCCTGTCTTTTCACTTTTAGGTCTGAAAAAGCTTAAAAGCTAAACATGTGACAGAGGCAGAAAACACATTGAAATATCATGAAACATTTAGATGGAACCTTTTTGTGTGTTCTAAATGTTAGGTACCCCAGCTTTAAGCTCTCACCTTGTGCCAGATGAGGATCCCGGCCCCTCCCCTGGGGTCCAAAGGAGGACCTGATAATAGGTTGTTACTCGCGCGTCATGGCAGCAGCGCGCAGAAAGCGGTGGTGCGCGTCTTTGCAGTTCATCATTGCGCACGGATCTTGCCTCAATCTTCCCGATCAAAGACAACAGTTTTGAAGTTACATGGACAAGAACGTCAGCATATAAAAGGACGGACCCCACTGGCAAACCTACAAAAAACAAACAAACGCTTGGTAAGTTACTTTCCCAATTCGTTTATTTATTTATTTTTTTGTATTGTGACACAGATCTGTGTTAGGCCCCAAAAAATAAATTGCAACCCTCTGCACGTTTTATTTTAGCGAGAAAAAAAATAAAACTATTTCCACATAACCCTGTATTTTAAATGGATTTTCATCATTCCTGAATGTTTGGCGTGAACGCATTTCCCGAAGGAACGTCAAAATGAATCAGAAAGCATTGACTAATTGAATAAGGATTGACAGAATTTACCTTAATATAAATTATTGTCAAACATTTACAGCAGACCAGCCTTTATGGTTGACAGCCGTTTTTTTTAAATCTAGAAATTAAAATTGACTAATTTAATTGTTTTTCGTAGTCAAAAGGGTCTTTTAAGCAAATTATGAGCAAAGTATTTTACCATCACTTAACACATCAGGCCTGCTGATCCCTTGAACATCAATAATATATTTTGTTATTGGTAAGAGTGAAAACAGTTAAATGTGTGTAACTGTTTTTATAATCTGTAATTATATTTAATTGTGTGTAACTTTTTCTGGACTCCCTTGAAAAATAGGTTCTTAAACTCAATATAAATATAATTATTATTCTACTATTTCTTTCTTTAAAAGCCCTATGGCGTATGTTCTAGAAAGAAAACAATTAAAGGCCTAAAATTGTGAAAATAAAATAATAAATATAAAACATATAAATCACAAACAAAGTATTTCCTTTCCAGACACAGACAAAGCATGCTCGGCAGTGAAGGAGACAGCAACCCCTTTTCGTTTGCCAAAGATGCACCTGAAGAGAAGCGCAAGTCTCCGGCCTTGGATCGAGATGAGCCAGGCAGGTTTGTGGAGCATGGTCCGGACCGCTACTACATCCCAACTCCAGCCTCCAAACAGAGCAGTGAAGCGGCCAACCCCTGCTCGTTCCTCCCGTACGCTGCGAGTGGTGCGGTCTACAGCCCTTCCAGCGGCTCTCGGTACTCTTCACCTTTGCACCTGAGCTCCGTGCTTCCCGCGGCGGGTTTCCCCTCCTCCGCGGGCCGAGGCCACTTCAGCCCGGCCTACCAGCTGAGCCAGAGCCCGGGCTGTCTGTACTCGCCCTACGCCAGCAGCATGGCCCTGACGCGGGCTCAGGTGTACCTGTGCAACCGGCCTCTTTGGCTCAAGTTCCACCGCCATCACACCGAGATGATCATCACCAAACAGGGCAGGTACAGAGCCCGGGCTCGGGGTACGGGGCACGGGGGCACATGGACATAATAAGAGCCTGTTGTCTTGTGTTCCCAGGCGTATGTTCCCGTTCTTAAGTTTTAACATCGCTGCACTGAGTCTAACAGCACATTACAACGTGTTTGTGGAGGTGGTGCTGGCAGACCCCAACCACTGGCGCTTCCAAGGAGGAAAGTGGGTCACATGCGGGAAAGCAGACAACAGCAGTCAAGGTAAACTCTTTGATTATGTTCACTAAATCATTAACCTATTTTATCATTAGTTATATAATTTATATTATTAGTGTTAGTTATTATATTAGTTCAATACCTGTGTTTGAATCATCTACGACATTTCCCATGGAGACAATGAATGGGAAATGTCGTAGCTAACTCACATGATACTTTCTTCCCCCATAAGGAAATAAAGTATACATCCACCCGGAATCACCTAACACAGGAGCACACTGGATGAGACAAGAAATCTCCTTCAGTAAACTCAAACTGACCAACAATAAAGGGACCAATCACAACTCTTCTCAAGTAGGTTCTGAACATTATAGTCTATATCTGCAAACATGTTTTTAAAGTTGGGTCAGCACCCAATGTTTAAGAGTGTTATAGCTGGCAGTTGTGGAAGAACTTGTTCTTTTCTTTCCAGATGATAGTGTTGCAGTCGCTGCACAAATACCAGCCTCGGCTGCACATCGTGGAGGTGTGTGAGGATGGAGCGGAGGATATCAGCAGCGAACACAAGAGCCAGACTTTCACTTTCCCAGAGACACAGTTTATAGCTGTCACTGCCTACCAGAACACTGATGTGAGAGTCCTCCTAATGCAGATGTGGTTTTCACACTTGTCTTTCTTCTCTAATGTCATTATCTCTTGCCATTTTTTCTAGATCACACAATTGAAAATAGATCATAACCCATTCGCCAAAGGATTCAGAGATAATTATGATTCGTGAGTACACAATATATATTTTGTATTAACAGGGTTGTGAGGTTACTTATAACTTATATAATAATATTGTAATGTCAAGACTTAAATATGTCACTAATTTGATTTTAAATTCGTTTACACAAAACGTAGCATTTAACTGAATAATGTGTTTTTTTTCCCCAAATGAATTTGACATTAGCAGTAATTCCATCATAAGTGTTTCCATGGCCATTATCCATACTTCATGTTTCTGGAATATCAAAGGAATTCAATTAAATGCATGTAACTTGCGATACTCATTATTGTAACTAACAAACCAGCTAACCAATTAAAAAGTTTGTAACGGGTTACATTATCAGTGTAAATTTAATACAGTGCATTTCAGAAGTCTATACTTACTAGTACGTTTGTAATGAGTTAGTTCCAACACTGGTTACTTATTAACTAATCCTGTATAACATTTCGACTACACACATATTTTTCAGAATGTACACTGCTCAAGAGAGCGATCGGCTCACCCCGTCTCCCACTGAATCTTCTCGTGCTCACCAGATTGTACCAGGAGCTCGCTATGCCATGCAGCCCCTGTTCCAAGACCAGTTAGTACACAACCTCCCTCAGAACCGCTTTTACAACGGTGAGAGAACTGTGCCACAGACCAACAGCCTGCTGTCTCCCCGGACAGACGATGGAGCTTCTCAGAGGTGGTTTGTCACTTCAGTGCAGCAAGGAGGAAACAGCAACAGCAGCAACAAGCTGGACCTGAGCCCTTATGAAGGGGAGTACAGCTCTCTGCTGCCTTATGGCATCAAGTCCCTGTCCATGCAAACATCGCACGCTCTCAGCTATTACAGCGACTCACCTTTCTCCACCATGGCCCAGAGCTGGGGATCTAGAGTGGCCTATCAGAGGAAAGTGTCCCCCAGTCTCCCCTGGTCCCCTCGACCCTGCGCACCGGCCAATTTTTCTGAAGACTCAGACAAAACAAAGCCGCTTGACGAGGAGGTGAATGGCAGTGCAGTAATACCCTGGCCTGAAACACCAGTGGTCACATCTTCATTAGATAAAAGTGATTCATATGCACCAGTGTGTAAGAGAAGACGGCTGTCCCTCAGCGGTCCCAGTGGCGACAACACATCTGCTGATATTAAGTGTGAGGATTTGCTATCTGCCATCAACAATAGCTCCTATGGCAAAGAAACACCTTCTTCCAGTAGCATGACTGCTTATTATTCCTTTTACACGAATCAAGACCTTAAATGAACTCTGAAGTGTTTCTCTTAACATGGTATCTCACTGTGGTATTTATATATTTTAAACCATTTAGTGTCAAAGCATATTACTTTGGTGATTGGTTTAACCTTTTCAGGAAACAATAAGGATTTAATTTTAATTGTACCTCTGTGGTTTGAATACAGCAATTTTAATGATTCAAATAAATACCTTTGACACCATGGTCTCAACATATTTGAGAAGCACATGCTTCTCAGTGATGACTACCAAGAGATTAGATATTCACCAGTATATGTTGTGTATAACTGTGTTTTTGTGTTCATTTTAAAATCATATATAATTATTTATATTTTCCAAAACGCTTTCTGTACACGTGGCCAATTTTAGTTGCACTATTTATTAAGCCTGTAAACGCAGTTTGTTAAGTGTTCAATGAATGTGATCATATTGTAATATACAAACGTTTGATATTAAAAAGAAGCAGCAGTTTGTGTGGTTCTAAGATGCTCGACATTCCACATTCTTTTTGTTCGAAAACTACCGTCGGCAAATTAGATCATTATGTCAAACTTTAATTCCACAGCCAAATCTGTAGTGCAACTGTCCCCTGATGATAGTATGTTCCGTGGTCTTTGTCGCCCTCTAGTGGCGTGCGAGTATAATGCAGCAGAGGCCAGCCTTGAAGCACGTGCACGGATGGTCCATTACAAACAGTTGTTTTATTTTCTGACTAAGTCAAGCTGTTGTAAAATCCAATAATATTAAACACAATTACCAACAAGCATCGACACTAAACTTCACTCGTGAAATTAATTCATGCCTTAAACATATTTTAAAACCCGCAATTTGTCGACATAATCTGTGTGTTTTCCTTTCGTACACATCCCTATGTTAATGTGTAAACAGCCTGTCGTTGGATCCACGGTGTATGGAAGTGTTGTTTTGCAGGATGTTGTCATCAACCTGGAAACCCGTGTGTGGGCAGTGAAGTGGACGGAACAGACGTGAAATCAACACTGGGGCGCACATATGGCGAGCACTCACTTACAACAAAGCTTCTCTAAAACACCAATGCTTTTGTGACAGTCATCATTGCGGGGACGTGGCGACACATCTAGTCTACAGTATTCATGTAAGTTAAGTCAGTGTGATAGTGATTTGTTTCGTTTGGCATTGTGAAGTATACTAGGTTAGCCAAGTTTGCTTCAACGCAGTTAGCAAGCTAGCTCTGCTAGCATGTGCTTTGACGTTGGAGCCAACGCAGACTATAGCGTCATGTTGGGTTTTGTTTATGAATAACATACAGCTAGCACATGCTGCACACTGTGGTGTATCCAGTCCCATCAAGACATCCAAACTTGGCAATCATGGTTTGAGGTCACTGTTTTCACAAAGATGTCGATTTAGCACTATGTTTCCACACCTAGACGGAGGATGTTTAATAAGAGACTGTGCTAATGGTAAACTAACAAAAATAAGTGATTTTAGCTTGAGACTCGGTGGAAGGCGATCCACTCTGTGTAGTTACTTTGATGTGTCCTGTCTGTCAGCACAACAGCCGAGGTTTGCTTGTGGGTCAATGTGTCAACAGCAATGTGACGATTACTTCGCAGATTAAGTTACAGAATCCTTAAAATGTAGCTTGTGATTTATGATTGTTTATAACTGCATTATGTGATTAAAGCAACTTTGTTTTAACACGTGTTGATTAGATTGGGATATGACACTTTCGAATGAGAAATGTAATATAAACACCACCCAATTGAACAGAAAACGAAGCTGATACATGTATATAGCCCAACGCTTGTTTAGGACAACTGTGTAATGTTCTTCTGTTGGCTCATGTTTACAACTTGAGACTGAAAGATACTTTTTCATATTTGGCAAAAATCTGAAAAAGGGGGTTTGACAATGTCAAACTCATTTTGGTCGGGGGCCAAATACAAATACAAAAACATAAGAACTGGTTTGAGCCAAAAGTATAAAAGTGGTAAAAAAGATTTACAAAAAGAAGGAAATTAGCTGTATTTGACATGAGTGTGGACATTGTCTAGTAAGTTCGTATTCAACCACAACTAAGCCCTCCATCCATCCATCCATCCACAGGAGCCTTGATCTTTCAGCGGGGGCTTCAGGCAAAGTGGGGTCAAGTGTCTTGCCCAAGGACACGACAGTAGTGGGAGTCGTGAAGCAGGTCTCATGGTGGGCTCGAACCCACTCTACCAACTGAGCTACTGTCGCCCCAAAAGCCAACTGAGCCAAATATCAATAAGAGATTTATTGGAAGCTGCTAGATGAAAAAAAAAGATTAAGTAAGTATACTTTCCTGAGACAAAAGGCTTTACAATTAAGGAAAATGCAGTATATGCCTTAGTAGCCCCTTATCATCCATGCTGCAAATTACAGCAATAGAAATAATTGAAAATCATTACAAGGGCCACTAACAATGGTCCCACGGGCTGGATTTGCCCCACAGGCTTGAGTTTGACAGGCTTGGTCTATTAATTATAGACAGTTACATTTGTTCAGCACCAAACTGTTGAATAGAAAAAAGCTAAAACACCTAAACTACAGGGCTTGTCCTCAAGTTCACAATTTTGACAGATCTCACTTTTGTTTACCAAGTAATTGAATAATTTGACAATGAATACAAATTCTTTAATCAACAAGATTAGTGTCAATTTAAATTCACCACCACACAATAAGACATAAATAGGGGGCCTGATTTTGTGTTCTTCATATAAACAGTTTCTATTTGTGTGAATATTTTTAGGATTAGGGATGGTGTTTGATCTAGTAGCAATGTAAAAACCATAAGAGCATTCCCAACAGTCAGAGCCATATGGCTTTGGAGGTAGAAGGATGTCGTGCTGTGATGTTCTTGAGTATCTCCTGCCTCACTGCGACTCGTGACCTCAGTGGGATGAACAGTTTTGGCAGAAACAATCGGAAACTCCTGGTGATGACAGAGGAAGTGGTGTCCTTCTCTCAATGGGAAATTTGCTGGCCCCATATTGTTGCTGCATGCGACTAGAAAGGCTTTTTCCTTGTTGCGGTACTGGCGACTATGCATACTTCATTTGGGGCAATGGGGGAAGCATCACTTCTTGTTATCCTGAGAGAAAACAAACAAAGAATTGATTTTTCCATTTATATCTGGTGCATATTTAATCAAGCATGTCCTAGAAGTGTCTGCCGTTCTGTGTATTGTTCTTATATGTACCTTCTGATTAACTTTTACATGTGTCTTTTGCAGGATATTCACAATGCTGCCCTGCTGAACCCAAGCTACTGAGGACCACTCAAGAGGTTCTTGCTCTATGCTTGCTCACAGGAAACATGGGGAACACAGCCACTAAGTTTCGAAAGGCATTGATCAACGGGGACGAGCTGCTGGTGTGTCAGCTTTACGAGAGCAACCCGCAGTTTAAGGAAGCACTGGACCCTAACTCCACATATGGAGAATCCTACCAGCACAACACTCCACTACACTATGCTGCTCGGCATGCAATGCTACGACTACTCAGGTTAGTCACACGGAAGGAATTGATTTATGAATGCTACTGATTAACTCATCTTTGCGAAGTAGTGAGTCTTTGTTTTGACTGAATATGTCACGGGTGGTTACGTTTTACCTCTATGTTAAATTAGGCCATGTAATAATTCTTTGCACACCGTATACCTGCCTCTGCCCGGTAACCTCAGATTGATAAAATAGATAAATAAAATCTGCAAGTCCCCTTGTTCAACAAAGCCATTTGTAAGCATGCCTAAGGTATCATTCATAATATTTCCCATTGACATGAAACCTCAATTTCAATGTGGAAAGTAACCTATTTTAAATTTTTAAAGAGCATTTGACTATCTTAAAATGTTCAAAAAAGATATAGAAAATGTTCACAATAATGAGCTTCTCCCTGGGTACCTGGGGCCTACAAACAGTTGTTTCATGTCGCCGACATCGACTAGGACTGCATGAAGTGTGTGTATGTGAGCGTTGGTGGGAGGGACCATTGCTTCAGATTGGCAGCCTGGTCTGTTGGTTATGCCCAGGGCAGCTGTAGCTTACCTCCACTGTGTATAGAGTGAAAAAAAACTTATTATAAAATTGTTGATGAGATGTTACAGGTATTGCTGAAGATGGTGCTGTTTCCCATGAAGTTTATTTAGATGAAACATAAAATGTCTTTACTTGTAATTTAATTGTGATTGAACTGAATAATTTAACTTAACTAGTATAGTATATTTACTATTTCCATTAAGAAGTTTGTTGAAAACTAAAAAAATGACATGAATAAAGACAACATGCAGAACAGGGCTCTGGCTCTTACCTCAACATAGAAGATGGAAGGAAGGAAGCCCCCCATATGCATAGTCTTCAGAAAACAAATAGTTTAATTAGTGGAATTAATCACTATAACTGTAGATCTTCTATTCTTTTCATAGAAGAGTCTTATAAAATCTTAAGTCAAGGGAGACTACTGTAATGAGGCTATTGCTGAAAAGTACAGAAAGTCAGGGTTACTTGTAGGGATGTAAATCGGTGACCGGTTAACCGGTGGTTGACCGTCACAGCGTTAACCGGTCAAAGCTGTCGGTTAAAAAAGAGAAAAAGGGGAGAGGGGAGGTCTCTTAATAACGCTATTTTAAGCCCTATTTGCACGGTGTGACGAGCGGGTCTGTATCTAGCTGTGTGCGCCCATGTATTATAAACTCCGGGACGACTCTCACGCCGCACAAGCCACATATGCACGCACGCACGCACGCACGCACACGCACACACGCACACACACACACGCGCATCATCTCTCCCCTGTGTTACCGTCAAAGTTGCACACTGGCGCGGGTCAGAACTACATTGGAGCATACATTTACAAACACACACATATACATACACACACACATACACACACACATACATACCGGTCTGTCGCGCTCCTCTGTGTCACGGAGCCCAAAGGATTCGCGCAAATACGCGGCTCCAGTCAAACCACATGGAACATGTTTGTGTTTATGGTCCTCGGGATCAGCTCCACACACATCACTTGTATTTAAACTTTTGTGAAGACCTGTGAGACGCGGCTCGTCACTCGCTGCTCTGACCATGTGAACAAGCCGTCGTTTGCTGCTAGAAAGTTTTGGTATTAACCCGCAGCACAGCAGAATGGGAAGATTAAAAAAGCAGTTCTCTGTGCGCAAAGGTGCCGGAGCTGTTGCGGGTTTGGGCGCCGCTGTCTCGGCTCTGACCCAGTAGAACGCAGAGCTGCACTTATGAAAAGTACGCGGCTAGAAATGGCTGTTATTTCAAAGAACGTGGACTATTTTAAACTACGCGGTTAATGGGCGGCACGGTGGCTGAGTGGATAGCACTCTCGCCTCTCAGCAAGAAGGTCCTGGGTTCAAATCCCGGTTGGACCAGGGCCTTTCTGAGTGGAGTTTGCATGTCCTCCCTGTGTCTGCGTAGGTTTCCTCCGGGTGCTCCGGTTTCCCCTACCACTAAAAATATGTACAATAGGTCTGGCATGTGCCTCCTGTACTGGCACCCCCACTCCCAAAAAATAACAATTGTAAACCGCTTTGAGACTCCGATGTGCAGTGAAAAGGCGGTATATAAATAAAGATTACTTACTACTTACTTACTAACCGGTTTCAACCGGTTAATGAGGCTCGGTGGTCGGTCATGAAAATTTGTAGTTTTTTACATCCCTAGTTACTTGTGTTCTTCTAGCTCACTGTCCTCCTTCAGTTACAAAGTAGTTTCTACCATATCTTGGAATGGGTTTCTTGCATGACCCATTTGTTTAAGCCAATCTTGTTTTTGTTATTTTTGTTAGGTCTTTTCTTGTAAACAAAGATGGAAATCCCAATAAGCGTAATGTACACAATGAGACCTCTCTGCACCTTCTGTGCATGGGCCCACTGATCCTGACTTCAGAGGGAGCCCTGCAGCCACGCATTGCACGACCCCATGAAGATGAGTACCGGCGAGTGGAGTGCCTGAGGATTGTCCTCTCTTGGACTGGAGCAAAGCTTGACCATGGGGAGTATGAAAAAGCTGATGTTAATGCCACAGACAACAAGAAAAACACATGCTTGCACTATGCTGCTGCCTCGGGTATGAAGACCTGTGTAGAGGTAAGAGACATTTAGTAAATAGTAGAAGCATTTCACCTTTTCAAGTAATTCATAGATCCTGTTCGATCAATGATTGCGATCATAAATCTCCTGATGTACCATATTGTTTGTGTTGAATTGTTTAGTTGTTGGTGCAGCGAGAGGCAGACCTGTTTGCCGAGAATGACAACCGCGAGACTCCGTGTGACTGTGCAGAGAAGCAGCACCACACAGAGCTGGCCCTATGCCTGGAGTCGCAGATGGTCTTCTCACAGGCCCCTGAGGCAGAGGGTATAGAAGCCGAGTATGCAGCCCTTGACAGAAGAGAGGTACAAATACAAATGGGCATTACACAGTTGGTGTCACTTGAAGCTTTCAAATTGGCAGAAATCATTTACGACTAAAACTATGAACAAATTGGATGAATCTTAGATAAATTTAGATTCAAACAGAACAATGTTTTAATCAATATGCAAAAAGTGGTATTCTTTTACACAATACGTTAATACTTCTGTATTGCTGTCAATGGGTTGCTTTCATTATAACATTCAAAATAGCCTAGTTAAAAATTGTGGCAAATTGTGGCAAAAAGTTAAGAAAACATCTTATTAGTCTTCTTTCTAATTTGTCTGTACTTCCTGAGCCAATCTTCTTATTATTTCATTGAAAGTGTCTGAAAGGTGACAATATTAATTAAACATATGCATGACACATTTTCCCAGAAGATCAAGAGGTTGCATCAATGGATCAAAAAATGGTTTCTTTTTAACATGTAAAAATGTTTGGTGCTCACAGACTAGGCCATACGGCAGTGAGAGAGGTGAGATGGTGGCAGATAGTAAAACGATAGCAGTGAAGTCAGAAAATATTGTTTTGTCAATTCTTAAAATAAACATTGTGCTTCTTAAATTATATTATTTTTTTCTATTAGAAAATATATTTTCATACTTTAGGCCAAAATGTTCAATTCAGCTCGTCTCATATGACACTAGGGAAACCTAGCATCTCATGAAAGTATCTTTTAGAAGTCCTCTTCTAACAAAACATAATAATAACAATAAACGCCTTATTGTGACTTATGTATTGTGATTAATTTATCACCAGATACATGTTGCACCGCCTGATACATGAAGTATCTTATATCTGATGATAAATGATAAAGTCCCAACATGTTATGGCTTTATTATTTATTGTAATAGTTGTGACAGGCCTACTGTTGTATGCCACTTTCTAGCTGTGGCATACTGAACAATGTTTTTATACTTGCATTTAAATGGTCCATTCTTTGTCTCTTCTCTGTATTGTAGCTTTATGAGGGCTTGCGTCCTCAAGACCTTCGAAGGCTCAAGGATATGTTGATAGTGGAGACGGCCGACATGCTCCAAGCGCCCCTCTTCACGGCCGAGGCTCTGCTGCGAGCCCATGGTACTGTCAAATGCTTTACACACTATGTATCACTCTCACATATTCAGAAAACTTTCATGCTTAGCAAACATCAGTTTTGGATACTTTATAATGAATACAGTCTGAATTTCATTATCTCAAATTCATTGTCTATATTAACTGGTAATGGCCTCTTTGTTCAGTTGACTGGGTGCTTGCCTTTTTTGTTGCGAGCAGACTATTTTGCCACAGTTGAAAGTCTTTGTATATGCAGTGCTATTACCTTAGCTGATAGATTGGGCATTCTAAAGCGTAAAACCTGAAGACTTCTGTTCCTTTTACATTACAGTATTGTCTACTCTGTTCATTTGTGCGGTTTTGGACCTCGTAGAGAGACTTTTTCATTGTTCCTACACACGCTGTGCTTTACAATTGCTGACATTGTCGTGCTTTGCGATTGATCTGGTCCTTTTGTTTCTGAATACAGACTGGGACAGAGAGAAGCTGTTGGAAGCCTGGATGAAAGATGCAGAGGAATGTTGTCAGCGTTCAGGAGTGCAGATGCCCAACCCGCCGCCTAGTGGCTGCAATGCATGGGACACACTGCCCTCTCCCCGCACACCCCGCACTGCTCGCTCCTCTATCACCTCTCCAGACCAAATAAGCCTTATGCCGGGCAATGAAGAGTCTGCCCTGGTATGAAATGCACGCAAAATGAATACACCTAGTAAAATAGCTTTGACTTTTAACCATGTTATCTGTTTGTAGTAATGGCTAAACACCATAGTATCTTAGTTATACCATAGGCTTAAGATAATCAAACACTGCTTATGTTCAAAGCAGACTGGAGAAGCCGCAAATTAATTACTAAATGATGACTGGTAAGTAATTTAAAGATTCACCACTAAAGGCATGTTTTAAGTTTCACTGTTCACAATAGAATCAATGATAATGAGATATCTCCCGAAATAATAAGATCAAAAGGCCCCTATTTCCCTTTGATGAGAATTTCACTCTCTGCACATCCATTCGCACTTATATGCAGGGTATTGATAGTACAAGAGAGAAACATTTTGGGAGCCTAAGGTATAATTCATTTTATCGTTTTATAAAAGAACTGTGTGTTGCTATTTATGGTACAAAAGCTTCTGATAGATGGCAATTTGTCCTGAAATCTTGAATGTGACATCCCGTATTGAGCCTCTAAACTGATGTGTCTTGTGCCAGAAGACTGTGTTCTACTCAGGAGCCCGTTTAAAGGTTACGCTTGATTATATCTCGTTCGGCTCGTTTTCAAATCAATACTTACATTGTTGAGGCGCTCTCGCTCCTTTATTTCTTTTGTCAAGACCAGGCTTCACTATAACAAGAGCTCTGTGTATTTTAGTGTGTGCATTTAAACTAAGGGAAAAGCATAGTGGTTCTTTTTCTAATAGGAATATTTCAATGTTTTTCCAGCCTTTATATGATCTATTGCTTTAATTTGTATTTCAGTGCGGTATCTGCATGTCTTCCTTCACCATTTTTGAGGAGCCAGTTGACATGCCCTGCGGTCATGAGTTCTGCAGAGCATGCTGGGAAGGGTAGGTTATGTAGGTTTTGCCCTTTCTAATCATTTTTGCTGTGATTTAATGAAATGTGCCTTTGTAGATTTCTGAATATGAAGATTCAGGAGGGGGAGGCTCACAACATCTTCTGCCCTGAGTTTGACTGCTACCAACTTGTGCCTGTGGAAGTTATAGAGAGTGTGGTCTCAAGAGAGATGGACAGGCGATATCTCCAGTTTGACATAAAGGTGGTTATTTTTGTTTTGTATTTAAGGGCATACACAAATATATGGATGTATAATCTGGGTAGTTATTACACACAGCTTAGTTTACTACTGTGCCAAAATATTGCACTTTATTTGAGGAAATTGTAAACTGCACATGATTTCACTGCAGTTTTGTTACATTTATCATTACTACTAGGGCATTTAGTAAATGTCCTATTATTCATCAGAAACGCTCACACCTCACTTACTACTGGCTTCTTTGACCGTGCAGGCGCTTGTGGAGCACAGAGACCATGAGGACAAACACATACATCTGATTTTTACTGTTCTCTACACTTCTCAGTTTTTGTGCTTGGATTAATGGTGCTATACAAAAAAGACGCAGTTAAAATAGATTTGCGTTATAAATGCATTTAGCTGATAGCACAATTACAAAAATCTATATTCTACCCATTCTAAAAATATTATGAGGTATTTAAAAATAGTTATTAATTGCTAATTGCTATGCTTGTTTTTGGTACCAGGCATTCGTGGAGAATAACCCTGCGATTAGATGGTGCCCCATGGCGGGCTGCGAGAGGGCAGTGAGGCTGAGCACACAGTGTCCTGGACGTTCTACCTCAGACTCCCTCAGCTTTCCCCTTCTCAGGGCCCCCGCTGTGGACTGTGGCAAAGGACATCTCTTCTGCTGGTCAGTGTCAATCACAATAACTCAACATCACAACAAACAAATGAGTTCAAAACGATGCTTTCACTCGCACCGTCCACAACATGCACTGAAGCCATGAAATACACCTGGACAATGTAGGATTCTGTCACCTCTTTGTCACACATCAGAGCTATTACTTTGTGGGACCGAGCTGCACTATGTGCCTGTTGTAACCTGGTAGGATCCTGGGATACTGTATGAATGAATGACGCCTTTATTAGTCCCACAATGAAAACAAAAGTGTCTAATACAATAAAAATGGTAGCTTACAAAGTTCTACCTTTCTACCTTACGTTTTGTTCACCCTTTTAACGTCATACTATTCTAGACTGAGAAGACTGTTGAACAGAATACATAGGGAAGCACTCTTTTAATTAAATTGAATGGTCCAAAAAATGTTGTAATTAATCTAATAAATACAATCATAATTGACATGTTGTATTACAATTCCAAAAAACATGTCCACACCTAGGGCATTGACCTTTTGAGCTGGAAGGTTGTGGGTTTGAGACCACCCCGGGACCTCCTCCACTGACTCCTACTGATGTCTGCTGTGGTTGTGTCCTTGGGAAAGACATTTGCCTGAAGCCTCCGCTTAAAGATCAAGGCTGTACTTTCATATCATTCATCCTCCTGTGGACTCACCACCTGCTGGAGGATCATTGAGGGGCTGGTGCTCTGTGAATTGGGTGGCACCTTATTGTCAGCCCCCCAAACCAATGGAAAATGGATGGATGGATATTACAACTCCAGACACAAATGATTTTGCAACCATGATAGTTCAATACAAAAGCAAGGTGAAGTAGTTTATTTTACATTTAGTATAAATGCAGTATTTTCAGTAGGACACTGATATTTTCAGTTCTCATAAACTTATGGGCACATTGTGTAAATAAAGAAAAGCAGAACAAAAGCACACGGGAGAGCGCATGAAGGCTCCACAGGAAACTTTGCCTGGAGAATTTGCGGCTGTAAGGCAAGGCAAGTTTATTTGTATAGCACAATTCATACATACGGCAACAATCGGATGGCCCTCTAGAGTTAACACTAAGGTCCTGGAAGCATAAACTGATTGGAAATAATCAAGAAGCCAGCGCTTGGCTGTTTGTACACCACTGTTTATCCTGGTAAACTCTGCGTCTGGGCATGTATGTGGTTAATACGCCTGCAGGGAGCATGACAGCAGTGTGATCACTCAAACTGTATGAAAGAAAGGGCCAGAGGACTGAATTTCACCCCCCTCAAAATTCCAAAACATCATGCTTTAGCAACAGGAGAACAAAACTAGGTGTGGCATGTGGAGGGGTTTACAAGTTTAACATTAGTATTTCAACTATGACCAAAGATTAAGATCCAACAACGCCATCAGCTTAAAAATAACAACAATGGACACAAAGTTTGTTCATTGACTGACCAGCAGTAACAGCATAATCAGAAAGAGGAACCCCAAACAAAAGGGTACTAGCTACAACAGATTGATAAAGTTGTTTAAATGTACATGTAAACTGCCAATGAAATATTCTATACTAACCCATTTGCTTTTGAAGTTCATAATCAGAAATTTGTGTCTGTGATTCTAGGGAATGTCAAGGAGAGGCCCATGAGCCCTGTGACTGTGAGACCTGGACATCCTGGCTGCAGAAAGTCTCTGAGATGAAACCTGAGGAATGTAAGTCCTTTCCTTCATCATATGATTCAGATTCATTTTTATTTTCCATTTGCAGTAAAACCACATTGGAATACATTTCCAATACATTTCCAAGTCCCCAGTGTGTACAAGACAGGCACATAAATAAAACAAGATTACAAGTACAGGAATAAAACAAACACAATCGTCACTGTGAAATTGATCAACTAAAACAGTTTCAATACTAGATCATTAAAGGGCTCTGTTTAAACTGATAACAGCTTGTGGAAAGAAGCTGTTTGCAAAACGAGATGTCCTGTATCTCAGCCAATGATATCTTCTGCTAGAGGGAAGAAGCTGGAAAATGGCTTTCCCAAGGGGGGCCAGAAGATTCATTGAGCCTCCACAACAGGCAGCTCATAGTTCTTTTGCAGAGCGGAGCACCTTGTTTAGAGCGCTTCTTTCTTTGGCTGTAATGTTGAACAACAAGCAAACTTTCAATGGTGCAGCGATAAAAGTTAATCAGGATCTCAGAGTTTATGGTAAATTCTCTACATTTCCGCAGAAAATAGAGACACTGAAGAGCTTTCTTAACAACCCAATAAGTGTTTTTGTGACATTTCAGGTCATTAGACAGAGTTAAACATACATAAACATAAATAAATATAGATAAAACAGTCAACATATTCTGAGGATTCTACTTAATAAATTGTAAATTCTGGTATTGAAGCATTTTCAGCATCTACAGCTAGTTATGTTAGCTAAGAAACATGGCTACTACTTATTTGTATATATTGTGTGTGCTCCCTGTATGCTCTTACTACTGTCCTATATGTGCGATGCAACATTGAAATTTCCCCGCTGTGGGACGAATAAAGGAAAACTTATCTTATTATCTTATCTTAATACAGTGGGGCAAAAAGTATTTAGTCAGCCACCGATTGTGCAAGTTCTCCCACTTAAAATAATGACAGAGGTCTGTAATTTTCATCATAGGTACACTTCAACTATGAGAGACAGAATGTGAAAAAAAATCCAGGAATTCACATTGTAGGATTTTTCAAGAATTTATTTGTAAATTGTGGTGGAAAATAAGTATTTGGTCACTTCAAACAAGGAAGATCTCTGGCTCTCACAGACCTGTCACTTCTTCTTTAACCCTCTATGCACATGGTTCATTTTGGGGAACTTTCCTCGCCTGGTTTTCTTTGTGTATAATTGTTCATAAAACAGTCATCTTTTGATGCAGAGTCAAGCAGAATACTTTGTTTTTTTAAATCAATTTAACAAAAATGTATTGAAAAAACACAATGAAATGCTATAAACAACTTTTTACACTGCATAGAAATGTTATTTATGGTCTTGGGGATGTATTTATTATCGTCTTTATCAATAATTCGCACTCTTCAGCCGGTTATTGCAATCGCAGCTGTAGTTTCAACTGTGGGACAACAAGTACAGACAGAGGAGTGAGACATCTCACTCTCTGACGATCTTTGGCAGTCCCCGTGTGTTTGTATCTCACAGCTGTTTGTACCTCACGGGTCACGCTTTGGACACGGACTTTCAGACAAACGTAGTTTATCCTCCGTGCATCGCACAGACAAATCAAAACTAGTTTCGGAAAGCCCTGAATACGTACTTTATAGAGGAAAAAAAAGTAAGTTGCTACGTTTTACCGTTCGCGAGTAAATTGATCATTTGTAAAACATGTGCGCATGCATCGGCGCCGATGCACGCGGGCATATCTCATTGACTGCCAGCCTATTTCAGAACAGGTACTCCCATATTGCCAGCCGTTTCTGATGATCAGTAAAAAACTGATTTTTAAAGACCCACAGAATATTGTGTACTATGACTATCTGAAATCCAAACCAGATTCCGAAAGAATGGACTGTCTACTTTCATCAGCAAAAAGAATTTTGTTTCTAGCTTGTTTCGTTCCCCTGTAATCCCCAGTTGAGTAGAGGGAAGTTTTACTGAAATCACCAGAAAGCTGAGAAAAAAGAGGCACAACATGTGCATCTGGCTGCTTTCAAACCATTCAGAGAGAAATGCTGCCACCTGCTGGCTAGATAAAATATGGTCTCAAGCCATCCCCACACATATTAGATACAATAGACATCTGGGAATGTAAAAATAGCGGGACACTACAACGTTACTATTTGGTTTGACGTGTTAACACGTCAATGGCGGTCAATGAGTTAAGAAGCTCTTCTGTCCTCCACCTGTTACCTGTATTAATGGCACCTGTTTGAACTCGTTATCTGTATAAAAGACACCTGTCCACAGCCTCAAACAGTCAGACTCCAAACTCCACTATGGCCAAGACCAAAGAGCTGTCGAAGGACACCAGGAAAAGAATTGTAGACCTGCACCAGACTGGGAAGAGTGAATCTACAATAGGCAAGCAGCTTGGTGTGAAAAAAATCATCTGTGGGAGAAATTAGCAGAAAATGGAAGACATACAAGACCACTGATAATCTCCCTCAATCTGGGGCTCCATGCAAGATCTCATCCTGTGGGGTCAAAATGACCTGCAGAGAGCTGGGACCAAAGTAACAAAGGTTACCATCAGTAACACACTACAACGACGGGGAATCAAATCCTGCAGTGCCAGACGTGTGCCCCTGCTGAAGCCAGTGCATGTCCAGGCCCGAGAGCACATGGATGATACAGCAGAGGATTGGGAGAATGTCATGTGATCAGATGAAACCAAAGTAGAACTGTTTGGTATAAACTCAACTCGCCTTGTTTGGAGGAAGAAGAATACAGAGTTGCATTCCAAGAACACCATACCTACTGTGAAGCATGGGGGTGGAAACGTCATGCTTTTGGGGCTGTTTTTCTGCTAAGGGGACAGGACGACTGATCCGTGTTAAGGAAAGAATGAATGGGGCCATGTATCGTGAGATTTTGAGCCAAAACCTCCTTCCATCAGTGAGAGCTTTGAAGATGAAACGTGGCTGGGTCTTCCACACGGCCCGGGCAACGAAGGAGTGGCTCCGTAAGAAGCATTTGAATGTCTTGGAGTGGCCTAACCAGTCTCCAGACCTCAACCCAATTGAAAATCTGTGGAGGGAGTTGAAAGTTCGTGTTGCTCGGCGACAGCCCCAAAACATCACTGCTCTCGAGATTATCTGCATGGAGGAATGGGCCAAAATACCAGCTACTGTGTGTGCAAACCTGGTAAAAACCTATAGTAATCGTTTGACCTCTGTTATTGCCAACAAAGGTTATATTACAAAGTATTGATTTGAATTTTTGTTATTGACCAAATACTTATTTTCCACCATAATTTACAAATAAATTCTTTAAAAATCCTACAATGTGAATTCCTGGATTTTTTTTTCACATTCTGTCTCTCACAGTTGAAGTGTACCTATGAGGAAAATTACAGACCTCTGTCATTATTTTAAGTGGGAGAACTTGAACAATTGGTGGCTGACTAAATACTTTTTTGCCCCACTGTAGTTAGTCCGAAATTTTGACTTTTCGTTTTTACAGCTAATCTGTAATGGCCTTGTAGGTTTTGTAGGAGATTAGTGGTCACTAAACAGCATCACCAAGTCCAAATAGCCCACCTGACAGGTCAAGGATGATTTTGTGGAGAAGCATTGTTAGGTTTTAGGTTATTTCCCAAGATTAGAACATCTTAAAGAGCACCGTTTAATTCATCATCCAGGAATGGAAAGAGAATGGCACAATTGCAAACCAAGACTCTTGTCTGAACAAAGTAACAATTCAAACTTGGACAGCACTGATCAGAGATGCAGAAAGAGGCTAGTGCTGAGACAAATGTATCATTTTTTATAATTTTTGTCTCTGGTGCACATATGGTGTGTTTTGGTCATTAAATTCAATCTTAGTTTTTTCATTCGACTATAGCACACACAACCAAACAAGAGCTGCCTCATTTCATATAGCAATGTTTTCAGCCCTATCCCTTAGCCCTTGTTTTTAAACGGAAGGGATAAGGATATTTTGTGAACAAATCAGCAAGCTGTCTTTATTGTATTAGAAATTCAGAATAGAAGAGTTAGATCAGTGGGGAGAGAGTGTTTGCATCAAGCTCTCAATTAAGGATTTTAGTTTATTTAGTCCATTCAGGAAGAGGGACGGGTCTAACTGGTGCTTGCAATGGAAAGTGTTCTCTCGCGTCAACATTTCACTTACAGAGTAGAATATTTACCCAACAGAACTATTTGTTTTTTCTACCTTCACATCTAAAGCTCTTTGATAATTCATAAAAGTTACCAACATCATACTAATGCTCTGTTCCTACACATGAGAACGCTCAAGTTCATTGATATAGTCAAATTCAAAACAGCACAAGTTCTTTTCAAATCTAGAAATCAGTTACTTCCGGGTCACATTCACGCGTTGTTTTCAGAAAGGGAAGGGAAATACAATCTAAGAGGAAAGCTAAACTTTAAAGTATAATATGCAAGAACAACTATGAAACGTTTTAATGTTTCTATCCGTGGCGTCACACAATGGAACAGGTCAGAGGAATTAAAACAAAGCAGCACCATTCTGCGCTTCAAAAGTTTCTATAAAAAACAACATATTGAGGAATACAGTAAAGAATAATGAGGCTTTGCCCAGTAGGATAAATGACTGAACACATGAATAGAATAATGGTGTGTAAATGTATGTATGTGTCTATATGTATGTGTGTGTTATACTACACATGCACATATATAATCTTGTATTTACTTTTTTCAGAAGAGAAATATATTTTATTGTTTGTTTGTACACTTGTACATTTTTGCACCACCTTGTTTCCACATAAATATTGTATTTTGTAAATGAGTGGTAGGACCATATAAGCTTTTGCTTCTTCCTACTCCCTTTTGAACATGTGAATGGATTAGAAATTTTTGGTTTTGTTTTAAAGCTTATGTATAAAGTACGCACAAATGTTTCAAAATAAACTGAAATGAAATGAAAATAAAATAAAAAAAAATAATAAGATGAAGTTGTGAGGGGCGACAGTAGCTCAGTTGGTAGAGCATTGGCCTTTGGGCCTGAAGGTCGTGGGTTCGAGCCCACCGTAAGACCTACTTCACGACTCTCACTGATGACTGCTGTCGTTGTGTCCTTGGGCAAGACACTTAACACCACTTTGCCCAAAGCCCCCACTGAAAGATCTCAGCTCCTGTGGACTCACCACCTGCAGGAGGATCAGTGAGGGCTAACTGGGTGCAGCTCTGACTGCCATCCCCCCGACCCAGAAATGGATTAAGGGGAAGAAAATGGATGGATGGAAAATGAAGTTGTGGTGTTGACCTATTGAACTGAAGCTCAACAAGATGTCTGTTACATGTTTTGTAAGCCTAATTAAGACTTTGTTTTTGCTCCTCTTCTTTTGCTGAAGTGGCTGGTGTGAGCGAGGCTTATGAGGATGCCGCCAACTGCCTCTGGTTACTTTCGAACTCCAAACCCTGTGCCAACTGCAAGTCCCCCATTCAGAAGAATGAGGGCTGCAACCACATGCAGTGTGCCAAGGTATGTATGAGTTTCTCAGTGGCCATATTGGAGTTAATGTGAAACTTCCTCTAAATCACCTTAGTTATGTCAAAAACTAAACAATTCTCATTACGTCCCTTCACTCACCCTCGCATCTAGGTGAAGGCCATGATGCAGCTGTAATCACACGTACTATAGGGCTATTTTAATCTCGTATAATTAATCAAATTTGATGCCCCATTTTAAGGAAATGCTTCATGCTAATTTGGCGATCAGCATTTGAGCATCATTGTCACTTGACTCAAATTTAACATTTTCACTAGTCATATCTTGAATGATGGCATAGATGTTATTTGTTTTGTATACTGTATTTATTCATTTAAAACGTTGCACATGCATTTAGCACAAAAAAACAAAACTAACAGAATTCAAAACAGTGTTTTTTTGGACAAAGCAGACTGTTATTTGGCTCCAACCCCTCTCACTCATACAACAAAAAACACACACACACACAATCTCAATTGTATTACCCCCTTTGAACTGTTTCCTGGAAAATCTCAATATTCAAATTTTCAATACATTTTTAATGTTCGTCCCAAATTATGTCAAATATTGTGTACAGACACTGACATCTTAAATATAATCTAAGTTGTGCCTCGTCTCCCCTATATACATACATGTAGATAGATACTTTATTGATCCCCGTAGGAGAAATTCAGGTGTCCAATAGTAGCAAAAATAAAAAAGACCTTTCTAAAAGTTAAAAATAGTATTAATCAGCCGCAGCCCTTCAGGTCACAGCAGAAGAGATGGCGTAGCCTCTGGGTGGAGCAGGACGGGTCACAGCAGCAGAGATGGAGTAGCCTCTGGGTGGAGCAGGACGGGTCACAGCAGCAGAGGTGGAGTAGCCGCTTGTTTCGGACCATTTTCTCTGCTCTAGTCCAAAGTAAAATGCTAAATGCTTCATTAGCAAAAAAAATAGCATTCCTCCAGTGGATTTTCAGCTGATCCGCTTGGTTCAGACCATAAATCCTCTCCGCTCCGGTCTGGACCAGTGCAAAACTAAACACTGTACTGCACCAACATCTAAGATTAAGATTAAGAGATCCTTTATTCATCCCATAGTGTGTTGCATCACAAGTTATAGAACAATAGCTATACTAATTAAAATAAAACAAAAACTCTAACTCTAGCATCAATAACAAGTATAAAATTAAAGTAAAATTGAAAATAATAATAAAAGAGGTGTAAAAGTAAATAAAAATTCAAAAGCACAAAACAACAACTGTTTCAGAGCCGTTTTGCAGCGCATTCAAAAGAGTTGTTACATTTGCGCTGTAACAACTCATCTAAACGAGAGCCCCCTGAGGAAGCAGAGGCCAGCAGGAGCACGATTTTACACATCTTGACTTCTCTCACATCTTTGATTTACTTCCCAGCCCAAGCTTATGGCATCACTCTCCTCCACATACTTCTTCAGCGATTGCTTTTTAAATAGTTGATTATACAATCAGTCCTACATCAGAACATTAGTGTTCTCGCCATTTTTATTTTTTAATCTTTTCTAAAGTGGGAGGACTCATGGACAAAGTAGTAAGATTATATATGTGGCAATTGTAATGTTTAACCTCTATTTGCATATTCTGATAAATACTTTGCTCATGTTTAGTCCATGCCAAGTAAAATTCTTTGTACATGCATTGGGTTTAGGATAGCATCTTCAGATTGATAAAAAGAGCAGTGGGCCTTGTGGCTGGTATCCGTCTGCAGATATCTGAGCTGAATGGGTTGAGAGGACATGAAGATTAGTTCACAAAGGCCACAGAGTCTCTTGACTTGTCATTACCTGGAAAGACATGGTGTTACTGTTGCTAAGAAACTCAGGATTGTGTGTTGTTGCCTAGGAACATTTCTTCTTTGTCTTTGTGCTTCCACTTCTCTTGCTATCTCCGTGATCTCAGCTTTTCTATTACATCTATCCAATAAGAACACTTTCTTATGGTTTATCCCGCTGCCACTCTCCTTGTTCTCGTGTCCCATGTGTTGAGAGTCATGTAACAACACAGCACAAGGTTTCCAAGGCAACCAAATGCGCCTTGTACCTTGTGTCCATGTGCTACATTATGTTGTATGATTCACATTTAAAGTAGTTCACATTCTTTCTTTTTTCTCCATGTAGAAGGGCAGTAAGTGAGCTTCTTTCATCTCCTCCATTTAACCTAAATGTTTTTTTATTATTATTATTATTATATATATATTTTTCAGGAACTGAAATAAAAAGGCACTTGATATTTTGGCACTGTTTCATCTCGCCTACAAATATTCACCTTTTTTGTTATTTCTTTTACTGACGTAGCTTACAATTTCAAAAATAAGTTTTGCAAATGTGTTTTGCCAAATGAATACATTTTATGAAAAATGCGGCCCTACAAATATGGCGATATCCCAATGTGCAGAGAAAATAATTTCCCATCCCTGGCGATTATTGCCTTACTTACTTTGTGCACTTGTTAGAGCACGAGAAGCGCCAAACAGAAGAGGATGGGGAACATTTCTTTAAAAACAGCTGTGACAACACTAACTATTATACAATGATTATAATACCGATACAACACATTTGTTTTACAAGTTGATTTTGGCCTTTTTATGATTATTTGTCGCTTGAAATGTTTCCCTTTTAGTGCAAGTATGATTTCTGCTGGATCTGCTTGGAGGAGTGGAAAAAACACAGCTCATCCACTGGAGGTTACTATCGATGCACTCGTTATGAAGTAATCCAGCAGGTGGAGGAGCAGTCAAAGGAGATGACCGAAGAGGTAACATTTCATCCAACAAAAACTATTGACGAGGGATGCACCGATCCAACACAATAGTGATTATCTTCTTCTCTCACTTTGTACAGTCACCTTCCTCTCTGCCAGTATACAGATGCCATATATTATTTTAAACCTCACAATTACCCTGCGTATTAATAATAATAAACAAGAAATGATGATCCATAAAAAAAAAGCGAATTATCTTATTTAAGGCTGCAGTGTTAAGTTTACTACGTACACAACATGTAGAAAAGACATGATGTCCACATGTTAGGGTGTTTCATGATTTGAAGCAGAATGAAGGGGCTTTTTTGGTGTAAATAGCTTATCTTTGTCTAAATTGAACATCATTTTGCAGGCAGAGAAGAAACACATGGATTTTCAGGAACTTGACCGGTTCATGCACTACTACACGCGGTTCAAGAACCATGAGCACAGCTATAAGGTACTGTCTGATAAATGCCCCGTATGAGATGTGTGTTTGTATCAAAGTGACTCTTCTGTCTAGGATATTACCTTGTTTCTATTCCCCAAATCTATTTGTTCCAGCAGTGATGTCAAGAGATGTTTAACTTAACAAAAGAACCTGCTTCTGTCTTCTTACATTAGCTAGAGCAACGCCTGTTGAAAACCGCCAAAGAGAAGATGGAGCAGCTCAGCAGAGCCCTGAGTGGAAGTGGGTATGAGCTCGGGTAACACTGTCAGTCTCTAATACACTTTTCAACACATCTCACCCGACTTTGATGTTCAGTTTGAGAATCTCAGCAGGAGGGACTCCACAGTTGCTGAAATGATGAAACCAAATGCTTTTATCTTTTACTTTAGAAGCAATATGTTTATATTTTGTTGTTTTGACTTTCTAATTGGTTTAGATTTTACTTGAAGTCCCACCTAACATATTCCAAACAACAACATTACTGCACTGTCATTGTTTCTACGACTGAAACTAGAGCTGATCAAAGAGCTATTTTATAACATCTCTGAAAACTGGTGCTGTTCATGGGCATCCCAATCGCTTTGACCTTTCATGAGACAAATGTTTGTCCAGGTTTGTTTATTCGGAATTATACAATAATAATTCCGAATGCATTTAAAATGAGAAGAAACAAGAAGATAGGTGTATTTGTTGAATTTGGATGCAGCCATGTCCCTTATATCATATAAATGTGTTCTAATATCACATAGATATATTACTGACACCACTGTTGCTTATTGTCGTTATTTTCATTCTGCTCAATACTATAGAAAGAAGTACTACTTTGCTTTACAGGAAGCGGTGGCCCACCTGACACCACTTTCATCGAAGATGCTGTTCTAGAACTACTAAAGACTCGCCGCATCCTGAAGTGCTCTTATCCTTATGGGTTTTTTCTTGAGCCCAAAAGCACAAAGAAGGAGATCTACGAGCTTATGCAGGTGTCAGTGCTCATACATGGGTTTGTGTTTAATACAGTCTCCACTCTACTAGCATGGTTTTTTTTTGCTTTTAGACTGATTTGGAGATGGTAACCGAAGACCTTGCCCAGAAAGTAAATCGGCCTTACCTGAGAACCCCTCGCCATAAGATCATCCGAGCAGCCTGTCTCATTCAGCAAAAGAGGATGGAGTTCCTGGCCTCTGTGGCCAGAGGAGTGGCACCTAGCGACTCACCAGAGGCTCCCAGGCGCAGGTAAATGTTAAATCATGCATGTGCTCTCTTGTTGTTTCAATTATTTTAACTTGCTTTTTAAATTTACATATACATCTTTTTTCAGTTTTGCTGGAGGCACTTGGGACTGGGAGTATTTAGGATTTGCATCACCTGAGGTCAGATGTCTTTCATTGATTTATATTTACCCGTAACTAAATATACATTTGTATAGAATACATTATATATTGTGTCTGCTGCATGTCAGTTTCTATCCTGTTATACATTGGCCCTGTTTGATGATATATGCCCCCAAACCCTCTTTTTGGAACCAAGCCAGTAACATAAACTTTACTGTAAACGTTTGTTGAATAATAAATCCACTCATTGAGTTTTGCCCCAACTAACAAACAAACTTGCAGAGGTAAATATTTTGAGAAAAATATATCTGATATTAAGACTCATACTGGATAATCTGTAGATCTCAGGAATATTATCATAATCCAAATCTTACATACTGTGGTGCTGGTTCAACTGCTCATTATGTAAATAAGTGCTGAATTTAGGACCTTGATAATTTATAACTTAATTAGATCGAAAGTCGGTTGTCCTTGTGACTATCATCATCTCAAATCTAAATAATTGCTTGTTGGTATTTGACAGAAATTTATTTATCAACTAAATACCCATTTAAGTCCGGGAGATTTGTCTGATAAAGTTTATAGAAGCGATGTTTAATTTGCTTTATGCAAACGCTCACTTTAGAAATGAACTGATAACTGCTTTGTGAAAGTTTCTTCAATTACGTCCCTATCATTCACACTCCCCTAACTGACAGTGTGTCAGAAATCTGAATTGGAAATCAGTTGTACATAATATAATGAAAAGTAACTTTCTCACAGGAATATGCTGAGTTCCAATACAGACGGAGACACAGGCAGCGAAGGAGAGGCGACAGGTCCAGTCTGCGCAGTGACACCGGCGATCCGGACGACCCCAGCGATGGAACCTTTGGTAAGAATCACCAGGGGCCCAGTCTTCAGTCAGTATCTGGTGCCTCACTCTGTAATCAGAGTCCAGGCATTACTTTGCGATACAAGAACTCCCGCAGCTGTGCACTTTGGAGAGGGCGGCTGAATTGGATCAAGTTACTTACTATTAATGTAATCAGGGTTTTGTTCATCTTAAATGTTGCAGAAGCACTTTGTTCTTAATATTCACATCGAGTCATTTTACTTTTTAATGAAGAAAAGGCGATATGTATAATTTCTTCAAAAACAGGAAATTAAAACAAATGTGACAGATGCCCTTTGTCACTACTTGACTCCCTCTTTCAGGATCAATAAAATAAAAATAAAATACTTTGGAAATTGGCATTTTTGTTGTTTTTGGCAGTAGTTTTTGGGGGGTTATTTAAATATAGTTTTATATTATATATCGAGAAATTAAAAAAAATAAATAAAAAAAAAATCTCCATATTGCCCAGCCCTACCAACAATCCACAAAGGATTTTCAAAAAATGCACAACATTGATTATATTTGAGATATCAGTGTCTGTACAATAATACTGATAAATAGGGATGCAAATCAGAAGTTCATTTGAAGATTGTGCCGTTGTTGTTAGACAGTTCTGTGATGTCAAATTGAGGTTCAACTTTATTGCCATATCACCCTGTCCTACTGGCTACAGAAATATACAGTACAGGGGATTGGAGCAGAGTGGCCAAAATATTTGTGAATTGTGCAAGTTGAATGTGCTGCCGTATGAATGACTGTGTTCAATTAAAGTGAATAACATTAACTGGTGTAACCATTAATTAGCTGTAACTAATGTTAACAGCCTATTGTCGTTAACTATTAGCTATTATTAATCCCTTGTGTTTGTTCTTTATGAAGATGGACATGACCTTCCTGGGCATTTAATGGTGAGTTTATAATAATCTCATTATTATAAGATAATGACTGCATTCACCAAACTCATCAATACCTAATATGTATGTTGAATCCCCTTTATACCAGGGTCTTGGATCTTTAGATGATGACGATCCAAACATTCTGTTGGCCATTCAGCTGTCTCTGCAGGAGTCTGGCCTGGCACGGAGCGAGGCGGCAGACGAGCCTCATGTGTCGCTGGGTGCCATTGGCACATCACTGCCCTCGCATCTGAAGGAGAGTGGTATGGAGGCTCTCACTCGAGCCTCTTTAAGCAGCTCTGACCTGCTGGAGGTGGGAGATGATCTGTCCAGATTGTCCATGAGTGGTTACTACTCTGCAGGCCACATGTACAGGACGTCCCTCCCCTTCCCAATGGCTCCAGGAGGCAATAACTCGTCCACAGGTCTGTTCTCCTCCAGCGACACCTTAGACTCCACCACATGTAGTAGTCAAGAGCCGTCGTCATCCTCAGCTTTAGCTGCAAACACTAACCTCCTCGGAAACATCATGGCCTGGTTCCATGACATGAACCCTCAAGGCATCACACTGGTCCCCCCTACATCTTCTGACACAGAGATCAACTTGTGTGCCCTGCACACTGAAGATGAAGATGAAAGTCTTGGGGACGAGCAGGACAAATCTGCTCTTGTTGTTACAGAAATGAAGAATGAAGTGGAGTCTGAGGTGTCAGTGAGTGTCATAGAGCAGAAGGAGAATGCTGGAGCTCTAGCTGAGAGACCCACCCAGCTGGAGCTGGTGCAGCTGGAGCCCCTGCCTTATCCCGGACCGCTACCGCCCGATTCTGAGAACCCAGACCCTGAGGCCTGGAGGCACTGCCACGTGGACACGCCACAGTGCAACTCTGTGTCCGACCAGCTGCCCAGCACCAGCTCGTCTGAGTGGGAAGAGCAAGTGCACTTGGTATGATGGAGGATCTCAGAAAGCCAATCCCCACAAAGAGTGCCCTTCGCTGACAGCCTGGAGGATGTCCGATTGTGCTCATGAGGAAGTTTCAGGATAAACCAGCTCACCTAGTTTCTATTACAGATATCTGTTCTTCTGTGAAATGATTTGTGGTGTACATTTCCTAAAAGGTGATTTTATGTTGATATACTGAAAAGGCTGCTGTGCCAGTCGAGTCAGATATATTCTAGATAGAAACTATAGACTAGTGCCTGAGTCCATCCACTGGAGCTGAGACCTACTGTCTTTAGGTTTTTACTTCTCTATATAGCAGCCACACAAGTATTTGGCTGACGCAAATCATTTTGGAAATCATATTTAAGATTGCCTATTCTCTAGTTGCCAATCACAGACCAGCAGCAAAAGCACAATTTGCAATCACCAAGTGGATTTTTAAGCAAATTGTGCCTAAATTAAATCTTAACCACTCAGTAAAATGTGAATGTGATACTCTCAAGCCATACTTTCTTCAATATTTCTGCCGAGGATATCATGTCTCGGTCTGACAGAACCACAAAGTTATTTATTGTAAATATGAGATATGCACTGGGAACTATTTTAAACTCAGAATGGATTTATGAATTAAATTACAAATTGACATTGAACATGGACCAGCTCTATTTCTAGCTGTCCCACCTTGCAGTAAAAACATGTGCTTGAGCAGTACACATGCCAGTAGCCTTGGTTTTGGTTGAGCCCAAAGTTTGAGAGAAAATTGAATGTGTATTGGACATTTCTCTCCAGTTACAAATATAGTGCCTTTGTGTTATTCACCTGTGTACTTCCAGAGTGCTGATTTCATAGTATTTAAGATGTTGACCAAATATATGCCCCCATAGCACCAGTATGTAGTGCGCACACTTTCCCAGGTTTAATTGTAGAATGAGAATGTTTGTTTCAGTAGAGTAACACTGAAGAAATGGAATGTAATCCCAGTGTATTCTTTTCTCATATTTGTATTAGATTGAGTGCTGTAAATTATCCTAGATTTTAGAAAGTAAATCAATTAACTGACTTTGAACTAATGTATTTTTTTAACCTGAAGACACTAAACTGAGGACAGTTGCAATATAGATATTCTATAAAAAAGATTGTGAATAATCAAATCAACAAACCTAAGACCGCATTGGCAGTGATGTGTTTCAGAGTTGTGCGTGCCAAGTTGGTCTGACTGAAGTTAGTTTGTATGGGTCACACTTGTACACCTCTCTGGGATCAGTACTTCACCTGTATTTCACCTAAAGCCCAGATCACTTCTTTTGATTAATGTTGTAACTCATCCAGGTTTTCTATTGTACAGTATAGCAACTAATCCTCGCAATGCTATTTGCACTTTCATAGTCTATACTTGATACATTCCCACTTTATATGAACATTGTTTCATGTGTGATGCCAATAAACGGTGTTAGGTTTTAAATGTGGCTACTTTCTGTCTCGGGGTGAACAAAAATAGCTGTTATAAGAACTCTTTGTAAACAAATATATTTATTTTTAAAAGTGTACAAGACAATAGTTACAAAGCCAGAATACAGTGTGTTTAACAACATGTCATGTAATGCAGACGCCTTAACTGTCAGCGACACAGGCCGATGAGCTGCAGCAGCAGCAGGAACAGGGACGTGATGTCCAGGTACAAGTTCAAAGCTGCAAAAACGTACTCTTCTGGGGACACCGCATACTTCCTGTGTTTCCCTCCCACGATCAGCTGAGTGTCGAACACCAGGTACTGCAGGCAAACAAGCTTCAGCTGTACGTTGCCATTTGTAGCTTATGAAGATGTGTGGCATTCATACACAACCTAAAAATGGGTGTGTGTCTCAACAAAGTAGACTGAAGTGACTGCTAAATGATACATGATGGTTGTTTTTCTAATTTAAAGCTTTAAGCTTGCACAGCTATTAATACAGCGTTTCCTTCTAATGATTACTGAACGCTCATCTATGATCTTCTCTTTGTCTAGAGGGGCTGAGCTTGTATAAATGCTAGTGTACAAAATCAAAGTATCAGTTTCTTTTCACTTCACAGTTGTCTTTGACCTTTGGTCATACACAAGAGATTTTTTTTATTTGTATGGTCATACCATGCGCAATGGCAGGTAGTCCATTTCATTTCTGAGGAAAATTACACTGACACGATTGGCTTAAACTGTGGTTGAGAACAGCATTGTCTTTGTACTGACACTATCAGGCCCTGTGTGTCGAGCCACTTTGTTCCACCAGTTGACTGGCTGGGTCACAACATTTGCTGCTAATGCCAGGGCATGCAGAGAGGTGGCTGTGAAAATGAAGCCCACTGCTGTGTGCATAATAGAAATGAAAGGGCACCAGCACGTCTCTTTGGACTAACTGCCATGACAGCCTCTGTGGCACATCACACTCACACCCTGATGAAGACTTCGCCACTTACAAAAGGTCACATTAAGCCAAAAAATGAGATTAAGCATATGAAGGCACTCACCAAAGAAAACACCAAGGTCCCCAGGCAGGCATACACGATGTAAACATACTGCAAGAACAAGGCACATGTGAGGCGTAATGGCTTATCCTGATCCGTCTAATGACTAGAAAGACCATCAGAGTTTTATTTGGGAGCTTCCATTATATCTGTGTTTGATGTTTATCGCTGTAGCACATACATTATGTTTTGTACCGAGGGTGAATGTGTGTGTGCAGTGTGACTCCCGGGTCAATAGTGAGAGCTTTTTTTCTAGTCTGCTGAGCACATGGGTCTTGACATCCATTCACCACTAAAAGCTGTAAACATTCTCCTCCCTGTCTACTTTATGCTGCCATTAATCAGAAAATGTTCTCAGTCGACACGAGAGTCTAAATTTACCTGTGATCGGAGGACTGCACAAAGCAAACAGAATGAAAAGAGGGTCCACATTAACACCCACAGGCTCCCGTTTAACATGGTGAAGTCCCACTGGTGAAAGGAAACAGACAAAGATGTTTGAGTTTATGGCAAAAGTAACTGTAAACAGTCAGTGGAAATGGACTGACTACACAATGGGTATGTCTGGTCAAACAAACACAAAAAGCTTTGCCCCTGATTAGGGACATACTGATCACTGAAGTGCAGGTCAGTTATGTGTGGAGTCAGAAAAAAGTCATAAAAAATAAAAAGGGGGGGACGGGCAAAATGTATTAAATTGTATTCAATTTCCAAATTACAAAACAATCCTTAATACTTCAATAGTACTTTATGATGTTTAATGATTCTTTAAAAGCCATTCAAGGACGATTTGTTTGTCTAAAGCTCTTGAAATATAAAACTGTTAAAATTCTCCACAGCAGCTCTGACCTCTCCTGCCATTTTTGGCCAAAATCAATTTACTCCCTCTGTCCTGACATATCAAATCATTCTCATCCGTACCCTCTGACATAATCTTCCCAAAATGAGCCTGAATATTATGGCTAAAAAAACTTCCCCTGAGCTGAAGACAAAAACGTAATGTGCAAATTCTGTGATGTGAGGAGTAATCAGCTTTCCCTTTGCAGCCTTTTAAAGCTTTACCAATACCTGCCAAGCAAACAGCAGCCACCAGCTTAACTCTGCTCCTCTGAGTGCACAGGAAACACAGCTTAGTATAGAGGCATTTACTGCTCGCTGCACCTCAAAATCGCGGCGCTTTATGAAATTTCACTTGTGGCTGGTCTGCAAACGGGGCTCCGAGGTGTGACAGATCTCACCTTTGACTGGAAGGCAAACAGACTTAAGGCCAAAGACACCAGTGAAGTCGCCAGCATGGCCCACAAGACGGCCTCTGCATCAAAGTACCTGCAGGCAAACGCAGCACGGTGGATTGGACACAGCCTGGACTGACCAATGACCCTTTCTGCTACGTCAAAAACCAAGATAAAGACTTCATCCACGTATCCGGAAAGTAGGAAATTGCTTTGACTCCTCTAAAGTTCAAACTAGAAACTAGAATGAGTATAGTGCACTAAGTAAACACAATGGACATTTAGCAGTGCAGTAAAGTGACAGTAGCATAAAGTGAGTGGGTAATTTAAATATTTAATCAGCACTAAACATGGGGAGGCGGCATTTCAGAATCATGCAGCTAAAATCTGGAACATATCCTGAAAATGTGAGACAGGCCTCTTCTCATACAATGTCCAAATCCAGGCCTTGTGTGATTGTCTACCTTATCTTATTCAGCACTTTGAGTTGCCTTGTGTATGAATTGTGCTTTACAAATAAACTAGCCTTGCCTTGCCTAATGCCCTTGTTTCTTTTGGCAAGACACGTAACCCACCTCTGCTCAACCCAGCGTCTACGTTCATATTTGTGATGAACTCCCTGTTGTAAAAGCACTTTGATTGGCCAGTAGAGATACACAGTTTCATTAGAATGTGCTTTCAGGCTCAAAACATTTATTTGACAATAGAAGTGGCACTAGGAGATTACAATCTTGTGAGCCCTTGGTGCATATATAATTCTAATCTACATCAAACTCTCAGACAACTGAACTTTTGCAAAAGGGTAATACTGTCAGTAAAGCCGGTATTATAGCCAAGGGATCTTTTTCTAATGCGCCACGGTGCAGGTATAGAGATAAGACTTGCCAGGCTTTTTTTTTTTACTACAGTTTGTATCTTTAGGCCTGTTACAATAATTACTAAATGTGTGTGTGCGTGTCTGTGTGAATATTTTCAGGTGCATTCTCTATCCTAGCTCTCTCTACATTTTCCCATGATGACGAACCATAACCAAAAGGCCCTAGTTTAAACCTGATGCCGTCCTAATACATTGTGGTGCATCTCAAACTGGAGCAAATGATGTCATGGCTTCCTTTGTAATAGTGAGAAGGGTTTTGCCATTTAAAACTTAAAACTTAAAACTTAATAAAATACTCATTGTTCTTAGTATTTTGTCTTTCTGTCACAAGGCCATGTATTTTTGGCCTCAAAAGCATCAAGCATACTTTTTTACAACTATGCAAAATATAACATGTTCACAAGGTTGTACTTTTACAGGAATCATTCTGAGGGGGCAAACAACATGTGCTATCTATGACAAACAATAAGTTAGGTACCCCAGCTTTAATAGTGCAGTTCATTTCTTTTCAGCTGAGGCCAAGTTAATTGGAAATTCTTGAATGAGATTTTTCTGTTATAGGAAGTGAGAGATGCTAATTGTTCTGCTCCAGTGTAGTGACCATCTCCCCATTATGATGTCTCTGTTTATTTGTAATTAGGGGGAAAAAACGCACACTGATGGCATCTTATCTGCATACCTGGCACCCAAAATTCAATCTGATGTTGTTATTATTGTGCAAATGAGAGATGAGCGAGCACAAACACTCACACTGCTACAGATCCAAGCATCAGGCCCTCCGCCACCGTCTGAAACACATGCAAATCCACAGTAAATAAAAGAAGAATAAATAAACGGAGAGGGGAAAAGAGAGGGAGGGGGCTTAATTTGCTGCGCGTATATACTCACAAACAAGCCCAGGGCGATGAAATTGAGAGGGACCTGACGGCGGAGGTTGTCACAGCAAGATAAGGCCACGGCGAGTACCAGCACCACGGCCCTATTTCACACAGAATATAGAGAGAGTCGTAAATAGCAAATAAACATGTTGTAAACATCCACAAGAGGCACACCACTCACTAGGGGAATTCAAGCAGAGTAATATTGATGCAGCGAGGAGCCAGTGTTTGTCATTTGGAACCGACCGTTTTTGTAATAAATTGTCTCGGCCTGGTAATAAATTTGAGTTTGGGATTGATTGCTCTTTTCTGTTTTATCCTCAATGTTTTAAGGCATTAAAGCCACAAAGTTAAAAGCACATTCTGAGGTCGAGTGAAGTTAGGATATTGTTTAAAATGTACATCTGTGATTCAACTTACAATGTGAAACTAATAATAATAATAATAATGCTTCGGTTTTATATAGCGCTTCTTTGGACATGCAAAGATGCTTTACATGTCGTTATTCATTCACTCCATACACAGTGGTGATGAACTACTACTGTAGCCACAGCTGCCCTGGGGCACACTGACAGAAGCGGCAGTTTGGCACTTTACAGCCGCAGCCGTCCCACTGTGGCACCTGGTGTTCCCAGAGGTTAAGTGTCTTGCCCAAGGACACAACGACAGCAGACATCAGTGGGAGTCGGTGGAGAAAGTCTTGTGGTGGGCTCGAACCCATGACCTTCTGGCTCAAAGGCCAATGCTCTACCAACTGAGAATACAGACTCATTATTTAAACAGTGAGATATATCGAGCTTTTATCTGTAATAATGTTGATGATTGGCTCAAAAAGAGGTTACAACAGATTTAAACACAATGGTGCTGGTCACATGATCAGTGGGCGGGCCTAAAGTTCCAAGGTTTTAAAAACTGAAAAAAATATGGAAACTCCCAAAAAGTGCAACATATGATGTACACGCATATTTGTAATAAAGGCTACTTTTGGGTGCCTCAGTTTTCTGTCGGAATTTTCAACGTTGGTCCCTCCACTTGAACAGCACCTTATTTCATTTTTACATCCAAGAAGCACTCCAGCCCCGTCTACTGTTTTCAAAAACTCATATACTGTAGGTGGCACAGTGTTTGGGGCTCTCGACTCAAGTTTGAACAATATTTCAATTTTCAGAGTTTCACCTGTGCACTGGCCAATAATACTTCAACTCCTGGAACGTAGCACAAACTAAAGCCTTTGTTACTTCTTCAAACGTCCACACCTTTAACATGATCGTTTATGTTTACTTTTTATGTTTATTATGATGACGATTTAAGTCAATTATCTAAGAAAGCCATGTAAGCCATTGTATGTGTGTGAATGGTTGGTGGTGGGAGGGGCCGATGGCACATACTGGTTGCCTCGCTTTTGTCAGTGTGCCCCAGGGCAGCTGTGGCTACAGTAGTAGTTTATCACCGTGTATGGAGTGAGTTAATAATGACATGTGAAGCGTCTATGTGTGTCCAAAAAAGCACTATACAAAACCGATGCATTATTATTATCAATTACACAAAGCCGCAGACAGTAAGAGTTCCAGTTTGTTTAAGAATACCCGGATTTGATATTAACAAACTAATTTATATTCTCAGTCAGTTTGAATGAATGAATTCCAATGCAAAACAAAAATGATAGTTTTAAATGATACTTTGGGACACTTACATCATGACGTACGAAAACCAGTAGGTCTCAAATGTCCAATCCCTCAGTGCTGACCTGAAGTGAGAGGAAATGTGTTTTTTTAGTAGATATGTCATTTATCTGAGAACAGTTGTAGAATGATTGCATTAAATATTTACAGAGGACAGAGCATAGCACACTCGGGAGAGAAAAACAATTTATGGAAGGAAATGGCTGTAGGAACACATCCATTATACAAAGAATATGAAGTCATCAACCCGCGTTCAGAAACGTATTACAAGAAAACTGTTTTGTATTTGAGGCTTTCCCGCATCTGACTTAATGGTCAAATGAGCCTGCAGGTTGGCAAGACAAGTGGTGGGAGATCAGGTCGGCCTATTTGACACAGAATCATTCCTTGAAATGAAGATGTTTGACATTGAGTAATTTTAACACACTTAACCTAGTCTGCGATTTATGAATGGCTTGCTTAAAAAGGGCTCCGTGCAGTCGGGGAAGGATCTCAAAACATCTTTTCATTTTAGGGATCTATTAGCTAAAATTGTGAAAAACAAAACACTTGACCAAAACAGCAAGTTTGGTTTTGGTTTAGACCAATCGAGTTTAGATTTATTTTTTTTAGGCATGGAGAAAGAAAAGCCCAAAAAGGCACCCAGACCTCATTGTAGTAGTGTAAAAGTATAAAAGGCACACAGACATCTTGATCCAAAGCTGATTTTGACAAATGATCAAGCCATGAAAACATTAGTAAGATAATACAGATATTCAGTATATACGCCATTAAAAAAAACACATGCAACAGTGGCAAGAGATGGACTGGTGCTACTGTGGCTATCAACCAATACAGACTAATTGACTGCCTCAACAGGTAATCCAACTGCAAATTGTACATAATGTCAATTTCTCCACTCTTCTGTCCTCGTAGGTAATAGATATAGATAATAATAAGCGAAAGCAGTTGTACGAGTGTTGACATAGATGCCACTTGTCTGTCAGCTCCAGTGCATAGAGGTCGTTCCTGCTTCTTTAAGTGTGTGAAGAGGTTTGTGAGCCCACTGCATCATGACACTCTCATCCTACACATTCAAGTATTTGTTTGCCACAATTTGGTGTATTTACAGCGTTCCAGACATAGACGCATTAAAACATTTGTGATTTAACCAGGAAAATGTTCTTGGTCTTACATAAATGTGCTGAATCAATAACCTGTACTGAACCAATTGTAAAAACAGACACAATTCATTAGATAACACCAAGATTAAGTATTAACCTTCTGGACCCTTTGCCTTATTCTCTATAGCTAATAATTAATCATGATAACAAAATGGGGTGTGTGAAACAATGCAAGAACAGTTTCACAAGAGTTACAGCAGTGGAAAAATGCCCCATAGCAGCAAACGGCTATCACTAAATATCAGGATTTAATGATGAAACATTATGATTCACTGATATTTACCGCTTTTATCTTATCTTGTTTTGAATGCTCCTTCTAATACACTATAATGTGCCCTAAAAACACTGTTATTTCCCCATTGTGTGACAAATAAACGTTATCTCATCCATTCATGTTGTTATTAATACATCTTTGAGTGTCCAAGTCCAAAGTATTACTGCCCTGTATATACTGTATTTTTATATTCAGTCTTTAGGTCAAGTGGCTTTGACTCACCAGTAAAGAAAAGCACAGATGATGCCCACAGTCACCAGCAGCTGCAGCATTAATGTAAAGTAGACTTTCTTAATGAATCCTATTGAGAAAAAGACAAAGAGGGTTATGTGTACACACGGCTAAGAGAACCTTGACACAAGAGAAATGCTCAACAAACGAGAACTGAAGCAGACGGGCTGCCAAACAGAACAGTGGAAAAACCTGGCTGCATTTAAAACACAGCCAACTCACATTCCCTTCAAATCATCCCATTCTTTTTTTTTTGAGAGAGAGAAAGAAGGTGCAGAGCTGGAGCAAAGGGAACCTATTCTATTTCAAATCAATTCACAGTCCTGGCAGCGGCGCAAACGAGTATGTAACTGCTGCTTAACCCATTCAAACAAAACAATCTTCTCCGTCGCTGAGATTCCGCCTAGAAATACCTCTCCGAATGTTGCTGTCGCTGAAGCCGATGTCGTCCGGATAAGAGGAGTATTCTGGAGGCGGCGGGGAGTCCATTACAGAAGGTGTTTGGGCCGTCGGGTGGACAGTGTTTGCGAAATAGTTGGGATCATATACCGTCGAGATGTTTCCATTGCCGCCCTGCTACAACAGCGTGAGCAGAAAATAACTTGGTATTTATATATGAAGAGTTTATATGCAAAAACAGATATCTCCGTTTTGAAATGTTGTCCAAATATTGTATTCCTCTAGTTACAATCTTTGACATGTTCTGTTAACGGCAGTACACTTGAAGGAATTTGCGCAAGAAGGGGTGAAACTTTATTTGTATGCCACTAAAATAAATCTGGCTTTTCACAAAATTACTTGGTAAAGAGAACATTTGAATTTTTTCAGATTTATTTCCATGGCACTTATCTGTATTTGCTTATAAGCTATTTGTAGTAGATCCCATAAATAGTATTGGCTGATTGTGAAAACATGCAAGACTTCAAAATAAATATGAATAAATAAAATACAGGTTCTTTATGGATCCAGACTCTTAAACCAAGCTCTTAGAATAATCAATGATTCTTCTGGCCACACTGGAAAAGACATGTTCCAGCTTCTTCCCTCTGGCTTTAATGTCTTCAAGTTATACTGTATAAAGATAGGCCTAACTTTTAAGTCATATAACCATGTTCATGGCTTGCATCCCCACACGTTCAAAAGAGAATGATCCACCTCCAGGAAGTTTCAGTCTGGAGCTTTTAGCAACGTTTTCCTGTTATCATTCCCCCAACCCAACCAAAGTTTATGGGTAAGGGTTATCTGATATTATCTTAACCTAAAGTCTAGTAAATACTGTTTGATTCTCTGATCTGTTTTGGCGAATCTACCGCTTGATTTAGGGCTACGCAAATTCAAAGGGAATTGAATTGAAATTGAATTGAATTGAATACATTTCTTACATCGCTCTGAAAGACAGGCAATGATAGAGTTTGTAGAGGTTTTCACAGTCATGTCATGGCGCACATGGAAGAAGCCAATGTCAGGAGAGAGACCATGTGACAGAACAGATGAGATTATGTTTCCCAGGAGAGTGAACCCACAACCTTCAGCAGACAGAGCCTGTGAAAATCCCATGCATGTTTGCTCTTCACTATCACCCTCAGGACAAAGTGTGTTTCGATGTGTAAAGCGAATCCCTGCAACAAGTGTGTGTTCTGGTTTCTAGTCTGGACTTGTACAGGAGTGTTGTTGCTGTTTGATATCTGAAATCTTTGAAAATCCTACATAAAAATGTGTTGGCGACTTCTTGTTACTCACGTGGCCATACAAATAAGGCAGATTCTGGTTCTAAAACCTCTTAATGTAAAACCAGGAAGTTCTATGGTGACATCACACAAGGGGGGACTCATGGATCCTTCCAAATGTAGGCATAAGTTGACATTTAAAATACAAATTTAATACATATATTAATATATACTGTAAATATGTATTATTACTGTGTGTATGAATGTAGAAAAAAGGTTGGGACGAGGAGGCCTGTTCATACGGCCTTGACAAAGACACTTAAAACACATGTGCTGCCTATGGAACTATTAACAAGCACTTTCTCCACACGTGTATTGTAAGACTCTCTACTTTTCTCCCCAGAATATCACTTTTTCGAGCTAAAACCAACAGATGTGGCTTTAATTATAGTAATCTCGGTCACAAAGAACCACAGCTAAAATAGGTTCAAGATCAAAGTCAGAGTGACTTGAGCTCACAGACTGTCAGACACAAATGAACTGGATAAAAGTCAAAAAATATATTGTGTGAGGCAAATTAAAATGTTCCACTAACTACAAACCTGATCACCCATGCCAGAGTAATTACTCTTCCCAAAGTCCGAGTTGTATGGGGGGGGCCTGGCTCCATTAGCTTGGTCCATTTTGAAATAATTGTTGAGTTAGAAACACCAACCCTGCATGAGACAGGAAGAATAGAAAACCATGGTCATGTACGGCACAGAGCGACCGACCGCCCTCAGCCGCTTTTGCCTACGCAGGGTAAAAAATAACTACGTGATTACGAAAAGATGCATCGCACACAAACACTGAAGGCAAAACCCATGACTAACATCCATAATTATTGCCTTAAGCCCCCTTTATTATAGCTGTATGTATATTTAATATCCAAATTGGTTGTGGCTAATTGATCTCAAAGGCCGTTTCGTTTAAATATATCGAGGACAAGGGAAACATATATTGGCTGGGCCTACCGTTCAACACATGAATTATTAAAACTACCTACAGTAATTACTCACACCAAAAAGATGATTCTATTTGATACTGGGCTGCAGTTAATGTCAAAAGAGTTTACTATGTGGATACAGTTCAGTAAAAGCGCAGGCAATAATGTGTAAAAAGACAGATTCATTACCATACATTCGCTCTAATATCAGCTATGCATAATAGATTTGATTGTGGCAGTGATAGAACCACCGCTTGCCCGAGGAGTCTATTAGTTGTTCAAATGAAAGCTCAATTTGACTGTGCATTTGCTCACAGCCTGAATTACAGCGGTAAAATAATGAGCGCGACACGGGCTTTGGCAGAGGTCATCACAGGTTTGCATGTAAATATTTCACAATGTAAAAGTAGCCGGACAAAGAAGCCTATATGGGAAGTAGATGTAGTGTATGGATGAGGAAATATAGGGGTATGTATAATCATAAATCAAAATCTTACTGTTTCTATTTCTAATCTATTCAATTTAGTCTTACACAGTACTTTCTACTTGCTTCATATTTATAGTTTATAGATTTTATACTTCTTTACTATGCTAAAGTCAGGGGGTTTTGTACTCATTATGCTAAATATAGAGATTTTTTACTTGTTTCTTCTTCGTGCTAGAGTTAGAGATGTGTTTATTGTTCATTTGTCTTCTGCTGTGTGCCCCACATTTCTACTGTTCTGTAACTGGTGATGCAACACTGAAATTTCACCACTGTGGGACCAATAAAGGATCTCTTCTCTTTTTCATTTTTTGTGTCTTTGATTCTTAGTCAACCTTATTTTGCCTAACTTTAATGCAGGCGAAAAATAATATTGTTCGAAAGTTATCTTATTTCTGTAATTTATCTTAAAATGTGAAACCTACACATGATTTAAACTCATTACACACAAAGTGACAAATGCCAAGCTTTTGTCTTATTTTGATGATTATGGCTTACAGTCCATAAAAATACGGACTGTCTCAAAAATGTCTGATGTTTAATTCTTTCCAAGCTGTGAGCCAATGATCAACATATATTAGTCTCACTTTGAAAGCTGAAAATTACAAAAGTAAATTGACTTTTGAACAGTATTCAAACAATACAGTTTCACCAGTATTATAATAATACTAAACAGTCATTAGTTATGGTCCATGTTAGGCATAATTTATCCTGGTATGACCAAGATGGTACCGATAGAATAGGTTCAGGCGTATATCAGGCAGAAAATAACGACACAGTGCCTTAAACATTAAGATGCATCAATATCAAGGCAAGTTTAAATAGTAGAAAGAAATACCTACTGTACAATATATCAATCAATGTGTTTCAATGTGAATTTGAACATTTTTACAGCTCTATGTCTATACACTTTACAACAGTAGATGAAAAGAAATGAAGTTCACCCTGAGTAGAATCTATTTTACAGACTTTTTGAACATCAAAGTGAATCTGTGAATAGAAAAGTGTCTTACCCCCTTAGCAGCGGTGGCAGAGGTAGCAGGGACTGACCAGACTTCCTGTTGTGTGTCCATGGGGCAAAGTCCACCTGCTATCAGCGCTGCCATGGACACACCGCTGAGGCTGCGGGGGAGAGGATGTAATGCTCATTAGGCTCAATGGGAAATGTAGATCAAGTTCTTAAAACATCATTACACCAGAGCAGGCTGCTACTTTTCCAGGGCACAGAGGTCTCCATAAGCAGTGTTTTCTGTAGGAGTGGTAAATCTATTGGCTTTGCTAGTTGCCTTTTCCTTTAATAGCATGGACGCTTTTTACAATTGTGATTTCGTCAAAGTCAAGGCATCGATCTTGGACCTCACCAACTCCACATGTGCCAGGTTAGTCTCAATTTTTCATTTATTTGAGATTTTTTAACACTTACTTCTGCTGGTTGGTTGCATATATTTGACCAAAGAAACCTGTGGCATAAAGCAAAACGGTTTGTAAAATAATAAACATAAATAGTAATAATTGGAAGATGCTTCAAATGGAATTACTAATTTACTCCACTCACTGAGGATGAACTACTAATGTAGCCAGAGCTGCCCCGGAGCAGACCTAAAAAAATCAAGGCTAAGAATCTGTGCCATTGACCTCTCCAAGCACCAATCAACACACCAGGCTCATACATATGTAATGTGGGGGAACTTTATAGCCACAGCCACCCCACTGTATCACCTGGTATTCCCAGAGGTCTCCCATCACTGCACTAACCAGGCCTTGCCCTGCTTAGCTTCGGACAAGATAAGACTTTCCCATGCAGGTGGCACCATATAATGGGCACTCAATTTAGACGATCGAGCCGTAACGTATTCATGAATTCAAACAGAGATGACAATTGCTACATTGAAGTCATGCATATGTACATGTCCTGAACTCATGAATAAAATGGCGTGTTTTTGAGCCGTACAAACAGAAAGCTGCACATTAACCAAACCTGTGCGATCATTGTAATTCCACCTGATGCCTTGGAAGCAGAGCCCAGAGCAGCAGCTGCAGAGGTCTGAACAGGGCCATTCCTCACTGTTGTCTCAGCCCATTAACACCAGCAGATCTCACGGAGGAGGGGCAGCGGGCCAGACAACTACAAATGCCTTTAGATTTGGTATAGTAAAACATTGCAAGCTTATATTTATTCAGCAACTTGGGAATGAATGATTTGGACATGCATGGAATTGTAATAGGCCGCTGTACATTCCACAGAATACACGAACTGAGCTACTGCAGAATAGAACATTGCAGGTTTACGATTACTCCAAAACATTGTCAGGGCAGCACACGTCCTGACTACTGTATACAGTAAGACCACGGGGCAGGACCACAAAATCGTTGCATTGGCTCCCTGTGTGTTTCAGGATCAATTTTAAGGTTCTTTTACTGGTTTTTCAATGTCTTAATGGTCTTGGGCCTTCTTATCTCTCAGAATTTCTTTTATCCAATGAACCTTCTGGGCCCCTGCGCTCCTCCGGCAGCAGACTCCTAAACATTCCCAAAGTCAGGACACACAGTCACGGCGAGGCATCTTTCCAGCACTACGGCCCCCGTCTCTGGAACAGTCTGCCGGAGGAGCTCAGGGCCGCAGAGAACGTTCATATTTTTAAAAGCAGGCTCCAGACACACCTTTTTAGATTAGCTTTTGATTAGTATTTATTATTTTATTATTGCGTTTTTTTAAATGTATTTATATTTTAGACACATTTTATGGGGGTCTGACTCATGGACCTGGTGGGGGTCTGGGGCCTCTGCCTGCCTCTCTCCTCTGGGTCCTGTTTCGTCCCCTGTGGCTACGGGCGGCTCTCTGCTCCTGGTACAGATGGCTCCTTGAATGGCGCTTCTTAAACTAGATAATCTGCATCCAGCCCTATATCGTTTCATGGATTTACGTCCTTTTTATTTTAATGAAAGCGCTTTACAAATAAAATATGAATGATTGACATCCACCCCACTGTGGAACCTGGTGTTCCCAGAGGTCTCACATCACAGTTCTGACCAGGCCCTGCCCTGCTTAGGCTTCAGAGGTCTGGCGGGATCTGGCTTTCACCTGCAGCCGGCACCACAGTAAATGTGTCTAATGGACCATAGATCACAGGACATTACTTAATAGTCATTACTAATTGGTTCAAATTAGGCCATAAAGGGCAACAACACGGCAAGGGTCCTGACTGAAATATTTAATCATTGACATTTGGACAGAAAGGAACACACTTTCGAAACAGTGACAAGAAGGTAACAGAGAGACCAGAGAGAGACCAGAGAGCGATACCAGAGAAAGAGACCAGAAAGAAAACAAAAGAGAACAAAGCGAGAGACCAGAGAGAGAGACCAGAGAAAAACCAGAAGAGAAACCAGAGAGAGACAAGAGAAAGAGACCAGAGTTAGAGACCAGAGAGAGACCAGAAAGAAAGATTAGAGAGAGTCCCGAGATGGACCAGAAATAGAGACCAGAGAGAGACCAGAAAGAGACCAGAGCGAGACCATAGAGAGACCAGAGAGAGACCAGAGAGAAACCAGAGAAAAACCAGAGAGACTAGAGAGACCAGAGAGAGAACAAAAGAGGCCTGGATTCCTATAGTTTGTAAAGAAGACAGCAATGTAGAAAAAATGACTCAAAATGAACCTCAGAAGAGTCCATGTGCTACTTGTGTTCCGCGCACCACAGTTTGAGAATGCCTGCATTGGGCCATTTCTTTCCATTAGCCCCCTCCCCGTCTCCATCAGTCAGACATACCCTCTCTCTTCGCTGATCGCAGGTAATTGCCTGAGGAAACCATCCAGGCAGAGAAAGAGCAATGAGTGATGTCACCATTATGCACACAGGGATTATCATGGGCATCATCCGGGTTTGTGTGAGTAGAATAAAATCATAGAAGACACTGTAAATACTCCCAATGTAGGTCAATACAGTCTTTATTCTGCTCCGTGGAGAATGAACCCTCAAAGGAAACGATCAAGTCCTCACCCGTGAACGCAGCACTAGTCAAGGATAGATGTTACAGCTTCGGCTACACACTCTAATTTCCATTTCTCAGCCTTTGATAACGCCTGATTAAACCGCACTAGCAGGCATTAGGCAATGTAATGCGACATTTAAAGACTTTATTTTCACACATGGAGCAATTAAATGAAAATAAAAAAAGCCTTTCTGCTACTGTCATGCTTGAGCAGCCGCCCCAGCTCTTCACTCAGTCAACAATAAAGCTCTCGGAAATCATTTATGAGTGATTATAGACGCAATTAAAAGTGAGGCTGTGAGGGATACTGCTGCTGGAATATGGATCTGCGCTGGATCATTGCATTTCACAGCCACAGGATTTTTTTCTTCTTGGTGTGAAGGTGTATCCAGGCATGTCACAAGCAAAAGGACAAGATTTAGTACAACTGATAGCCACTGGAGGGCACTAGTCTCCTTCGCTTGTGATTTTAATTGCACTGATTTGGTTTTGCTCTCTTCTCTGCCACTTCCCTGTCCAACCATGCACACCAAATCCCCCTGAGAGCCCTCTTAACTGGCTGGCTGTTCAATTTAACAGCAGGATCAAACCGTCATTTCTTTAACTTGCCTTATCTCCCTATGCATGGCCAATGTGCGAAGACATGGTTATTTATATGAAGAGTTATAACAACCCAAGCAAATCAACACGAAGCAGTCTTTTTCAGCATGGACCGTTGCATAGACAAGACTCAGACACGCTCTGCATGTGTAGGGAATTTACAAATGCATTATTATATGGCCCATTTAGATTTCCAAACAAGGCTTGATCTGCAAAATTACAATCATACAAAGACTGTTATTTGCTACTAGAGTGAAAATTCAAGGGATATTTGTCGCAACATTTGCTATTTTGACAAATAAAGAAAGTAAGAAATATATATTTATATGGCGTATTTCAAACCCACTCAGACGGGCTCTGAGGCAGATTAAGTTGAATTAAGGCACGACTTCTTAGTCACCTTTAATGGGGTTGTATGAGTCAGAACAAGCTTGTGAGCACGGCCACATATAGAGCTGGGTCTCTCTCAGAGCCTGTCGATATGAGTGACACGATATGATATACTGTATATATACAGTGGGGCAAAAAAGTATTTAGTCAGCCACCGATTGTGCAAGTTCTCCCACTTAAAATAATGACAGAGGTCTGTAATTTTCATCATAGGTACACTTCAACTGTGAGAGACAGAATGTGAAAAAAAAATCCAGGAATTCACATTGTAGGGTTTTTAAAGAATTTATTTGTAAATTATGGTGGAAAATAAGTATTTGGTCACTTCAAACAAGGAAGATCTCTGGCTCTCACAGTCCTGTAACTTCTTCTTTAAGAAACTCTTCTGTCCTCCACTTGTTACCTGTATTAATGGCACCTGTTTGAACTCGTTATTTGTATAAAAGACTGGAGTCTGACTCCATAGTGGAGTGTGACATCACTCATACAGGGGACTTTCAATTCAATACTTCAACAATATGATTCAGTAAAAAATAAAAACTTTTGGCTCCTTATCTAACGCTCTGCCCCATTTGAATAGAAATACAACAGTACTGATGCATATACAGTATATTTCATTTATTGAAGACCAATGTTTTAAATTGCAAGAATACATCTATTTTTCTTTTTATCTATGTACATCAAAAGATCTATATTTTAGCACACTCCTAGCTATATGGCAGACCTAGTACGCACACATTCTGTTATACGAGAAGATGAGGGAATGGATTGACTCTCAATATGGCGGTGACTAAAGAAAGAGAATTCAAAATCTTGAGTCTTTCTTAAGAGAAAAGGCAAACGTGAAATGATCCATTATCATTTGATTATACAAATATTATCAATAACTATGCATAAGGCACAAGTGAGTGGATTCAATATGAAACGTCTAGATAGATTCCTGTGCCATCTACTACTTTCCTATCAGCAGAGATATCATTCCTGAAACAAAATATAATTGTATTTTTACCTTATTTACTCAAACATGTCCAACATTTGAAAAGCATGCATCTCTGTTCCAGTCATTGATCAGTCAGTAAACATTTCAATTTACACTGCTATATACCCACTCCTGCGGCCTCACCTATTCATGAGATTTGGGTGGGATTTGACTCGGCCGAAAAGCAAACACTGTCACATTTGAGCAGGCGGCCGAAATCCAGCCTGTGTTGACACTGACAGACCAATCAGTTTGTGTGGAGCTGTGGAGGAGGCCGGGTGGTGTGCGTGATGGTGTCAGAGCTGGACAAACCAGATCAGCGTTCGGCCAGGAATCATATGGAGCCTAATGTTTGCAATTGGACAGATGGACGGGCACAAGTAACGGACAATCAAAGAACAAAAACACTATTCAATACCCCCATGTTATTGGGTTTCAAATACCATCGCATTCTTGGCCTACTGAATGGAATGCCAAGGCAGGTTGTTAAGAAGAAGGGAGGAGACATTGTGTTCTCCATGGATGTGTTATTGCCAGTATTTATAGGCACTAAAACATTTTATAAACTGTGGAAGCTATGTCAATGGATTTTTCACAATGAGAGACAAACATAATCACAGTCCATTTTTATCCCAATTGAACATTGTTTAAGAGGATTGGATCAGCGGCTGAGTGGTATAGTGCTCATGCCTCACAGCAAGAAGGTTCCTGTGCGCGGGGGTGGATTTAAGGTCTGTGGAGGCTGCACTGTAGTAACCACTGTTCCTGACAGGCTGCCCTTGTGGTATTTAAGGATGAGTCAGGACATGGCGCCACTTGCATATGAAAAAAACTTGATGTCAGACCTCAGAAGTCAAGGGCAAGTTAGCAGAAGCGTTTGTATGTTATTTTGAAAAGCAGTGCACTATATCATGTGTTTTATTTGTATTACAGTGGGAGATCAGAGAACACCAAGTCATAGGCAAGACACCACCCACATTTCCCTGTATGAGTTTCGTGTCTGAATGAATGATTAGTGGTAGTTGGAGGGGTCGATGGCACAGATGAGTTGTGGTTATAGTAGTGGTTTACCGTTTACCGATTGAATGAATAATAACATAAGATAAACGTTATTGATCTCACAATAGAGACATTTCCATGTCTCATTTGGCATAGATAGAATCACTCATATTGTACAAAAAGACAGAAGTGTGCAACATGTTACTGTAAAGGAGCAGTATGTAAAAATCTGGCCAAAAGTGGTACTGCAACTTCTCCCACTCAGGTTGCCAGATATACAGACGAATCCAACTGGGACCATACAATCTGAAAAAACAAGAGTTTTGTTAACAACAAGTCTATAACAACAATTTTTTTCACTAAGACCCCAATAGAATCTTCATTTTATTCCTTGTTTTGTCGTTAATGATTTGAGAATTATAACAAGGCCACATGTTACTTTACCAGTGAGATTCGCTAGGCGCAATGAGTTCTGGGAACCCGTATCACGGACTTTCTAATTGGTAAAACAGTGGAGGCTGGGACATCGAAATTAAAACAATAACATGATAGATTTAGGGGGCTGAAAAACCAAATTTGAAATCCGAATATCTCGGCTGAACTACTGTAGTCAGTATTTGAAAAGAGCAAGTTTTATTGATGCCTTTTGACAGATTAGGGCCATTTAATGAGTACTTATATATTGCTACTTTAAGGTAAAAAATGCCATGAGAAGAGTCTCTGGATGTCATGAAAAGCGCTATACAGTATAAGTAGTTTGCATTAAAGTATTACATCTGCATGAAGAATAAAGTGCACCTTAACGTTTCTCATGGCTCACGTGTAAGAAACATGCAGCTAAATAGCTTCCTTTTATTGGTTATTATATACATACTTGTATTAATTTCCCTTTTGCGAGCTGAAGTTTCTTTTTCACGTATAGTATTTCTGTTACTGGAATTCAAGTCTTGCAGGGCACGCTTAAACCTGGATCAGGTGTGTGGCTCTTGACAATTTCCCTTTGGCAGATGAGGCGATCATAGTTTTCACACACAATCACTACAATGTAATGCAATTTCTATACATAATATTATAGATCTATTCCCCATATAAGCTGTAGCATTGTACGGGGAGAGTGGGAGCAGACATGACACCAGGGGCCATGGTGGCAACAACCACAAGAGGCAGACAGGGACACCAAGTTCGACATGCAGTTGGACAGACAGTCAGTTGGAGTGTCCCGCTTGGTGGACGAGGACATGTTCTGACAGCTCTGTTTTGTCAGGCTGGTGCGCTGCTCTTTGGGGCTTTGGGGAGTGCGGATCAGAGAGGGAGTGCTCTGGTGTCACTGGAGACGCACAGATGTAGTCGTCATCATGTGTCTTTCCAGCACTTTCTCTGCTGATTTACTGCAACCCTCACTGGCCACACTATATAGAATTTATTTGGAGAATTGAAAATGCTGGTTTATTTGGGCTCAGTGCAAGACAGGAGGTTTGCGCCACTAGGCACCTCTTCATTTTTAATTTACAGCCGTGTAGACGCGGCGAGAGCAGTTTGGACAGGATGTATGGCTGATAAGAGACAATGACTGAGGGACCAGTTGGACACGGTAAATAATGACTAGTGTTGCAATGTGTTCGTTTTCATCATATCAGCCTGTCCAGCACTGACAAATCATAATGTTCCAGTAAAACCAAGATTTCTCACTTCTTCAGAGATCCATACAGTTTAGAGAAAAACCATCCCTAAATGAATCTCTGCTCTTCTTGTGATAACCACCAATTAGCTCAAATTGATTGGGCGTGTATCTTAAGTACATATTATCATTCAGTTGATCTGATCATAAATACGAGAATTATTGCAGTCTCTAAAGATGTTTCAAGGGCAAGGCACATGATTGAAAAACATTAAAGAAATTAACAAAAAAGTCCAAAGTCCCACAGGCGAGATTGCATGCTGCATTGTTAGTTCAAGAGCAGATTGCCTAATCTGGTTTTGTAAATGAACATAATACAAAAGGCGCAGCTGTAGCCAGACTAACTGCATGGACACAATTAAGTGAATAAATGATTGTTATCTTACGTCCATTTAGCACATTAGTCAAGCAGGAACACAAAACTGCATCTGAATTTGTACTGTGGGTCTACATTAGCACTGAGCACACACTCCATCACTGCATTTAAGGCTCTCTATGTTATGATTTATTCACTTATGTCTGTAAATGTCTCCATTTTTAGTTGATCAATCGCATAATAATGGTGAGTTAACTCACAATTAATCACATTTTTAACATTCTATTTCAAATCCACTCCAATTGAAGTTAAATGAGATTATCAAATGTAATGACACATTGTTATTCAGACCAAATGTACTTCAATCTGTTTGATTCACAACCTTTTACTTTTGGGCACAACCAACATGAGCTTTAATGAAAGGGAAAATGTACGTACCCCTTTAGCGAGTTTAGTTGCGTTTCAGGAGAAAACACGGACACTTCCTAAGGCTCCATAGTTCAGCTTCAGCGGTGTATTTTCATGCACAGGTTACGCTAAGGTTACGCAAAGACACGCACACAACATGCAGAGAATAGATCTGTATGTGTATGGTCTTGGATATGACCACATTACCGCGGCGCCATTTGTTTGCGGCTCACACCCGCTGGAGGTGGGAACCGCTGTTCAGAGCAGCCGCAGCTGCCCCGGGTCAGAACGCTGCGGTCACGGAGGATGCCCCGTGGTCATGTGCGTATTCTTTTAAAACTTGAATTCCCAGAAACTTGCTCTGTCAAAATCTCTCAAACCATCTCATGCATATAATTCGGACATGTAATTAACGTGCGTTAACGCAGTAATTATGACAGCCCTATTATTATTATCATTAAAGAAATGCATTAATAAGAAACACATAGAAGCCATTGGTCCATAGGGAGCAGGATTACCAGTGTCCATAACTGCTATCGGTCTATGTCCGCAGATACAGACAGATGCATCATCAAATGGACTTTATAATAATTAGGAATAATGGATGCAATGGAAATCAATCCACATCTGCTTCAAATGGATGAAAGCAGTGGATGAAATAAAACCAACACGTTTAAACACGTATATCTTCCAAAGAATATTTTCTTCTATCCTTTTAGGATAGAATTGCATTGACCCATTTACCTCATAAATGACACTCCTAAAGCCCCTTGTGAATGTAGCAGCCTTAACAATACAAGCAGATGTGACTTTCAATAATCCATTAGAATCATGTAATTAATCGTGATTGTTAAATGATAATCATAAATCAATCTGCAATCATATGTGTGCATCAAATAATTATCCCAGGAGGCAACCACACTTATCATTTAGTATCTGAATGATTTGAATCTAAACATTGTCAGTCCATTAACACTCTTTGGGGAAGTTTCTTTCAAAGCCACAGTGTCTGACAGGTCTGGCAAAAACTGCCAGGTCAAATCTACACTCCGGCTTCACGCAGTCCTTGGGGAGAGAGAGCAAGGCATGATGGAAAACACTAACCTCTGGTACATTTGAAAATGCAAAGTCAACATTTAATATACGGAGCAGTTGTGTTTAATTTGTCAGATCATTGAAGCAAAAGACAAATAGAAAAATGATTGTGGAAAAACAGTAAGGAGTCCAAGGACAGATGGATGGCTCATATGTGAAGGGTCTGTGCAGCCATTGTGTGTCAGCTGCCTGTCAGAAACTTGGCAGGGTTTGGCTCTTTTCTTCCCTGACAGAACGTATTTAAACAGAGAAAATGGATTTCATATAAGCCATGACAAGCAGCGAACAATAAGTGACAGTGGCATTTCACCGCTGCTCTGCCTCTGACAGAGGAACTAGTGGTCACATGTCAGGCTGTACCTCAACTAGAAACCAAACACCACGCCTGGTTAATAATGCGGGGAATACACTGATTAAATGATGTAACGCAGAATTGTAATCTTCACCAGGCTGCACGCTGGGCAGATCTATGGAAGTTGCAACAAACAATACAGATAGTAAACTTGGTAAAACATCATTTCAAGAAAACAAAAGATTAACATTTACTATTGGTTTGATTTTACTTATTTTTTCAACAAGCATAAGAACACACAACATGCACAGCTAATAACTTGGAATTAATTATACATAAATAGCCTGCCCAGGATGAAAAAGTGAAACTCACAGAAATGTTTATTCAAGTTCGTCAAATGTACTGGTTATGTTAATGATGCTCCAATTAGTGATGTGGAAAGCTCCAAATAGGCCATATCAGCAAATGTCATCACCAACTGTCAGCAAGACTATTCTTTTATTTCCAGATAAGAAATATGGTTTTCTTGGCAGTAGTTAGGGCAATGAGCAGATGCTTGGTGGTTTTTAAGAAGTTTAGGGTGATGGATGCTAGTGGGATATGGTCAAACATGACAGAGAGATATCACCTGCTTTTTTATACAAAGAGAAGAGATTTTTGGAAGGTCTAGATTCTCTGTTACACACCTGGGATTAGACTGCGGAAGCTCACACACTGATGAAAGACATAAACTTGCCCGACAGCCAGAATAGCGGCCGGAACATAACTGAGAGTGTCGGAGCAACACAAAGGGGCCTGTGGCAGAAGAACTAAACCAGGACATTTAAATCAGTGCTAAATAAAACGTGAAGGAATACTAGAATTTATCTACACAATTACTTGAATTTGTAAATCTATTTCACATTTGCGCAAAAAATTGACATATCTACAACCCCAAAGAACATGGCACTAGCTACCACAGACTGATAAGGCTTGATGTAAGCAGTCTGATCTTGCATCTGTCAGGGATGTCTATATTCTTATATCTTAGAAATGTAGGCTGACTGTTTGCGCCGAGAGCCGAAGCAATTTCCTCATCGGTGACTTCCTGTTACTTACATGGCAATAAAAATTATTCGGATTCTGATCAAAGTCTGCTCAGGAAGAGAAGCATTCCAGTTGGACTCCCAAGTCGGATCTGTGGTACCGCTGTTTGCTCTGAGAAGTGAGGCTTAATGCTGTGATTATATGTGTTGTTTTGTGTTTTTATGTGATGTGTTTGTCTTGCCCTGGACTATGAGTCTTTAATAAAAGTTTGATGATGATGTAGGACTGTACCAATTTAATGTCCTGACCATTTAGGGTGACCGGTTGATGGGAAGGAGTCAATGATCATCTCTGTGGTCTTAGATAGCATTAATGGATCAAACCATTTTTCCAGTCTGAGAAAGCAGCTCCACCCACCTGTACTCTGCTTCAGCCCCTCTCTGCACACATGCCACAACAGCGGTATATTCCAAATACTTTTTTACGTGGCATGTAGTAGAGTTATGGAGCTTCGCGAAAGTTCACTGTGGTAGACCCGGCTGCTGCTGCCCAGGCCAAAGGCTGCTCTTCCTCGACTCATCAATACCAGCAACGCCCACATCCAGTCAACCAATAACCACCAGGACAGCAAGTTAAAACCCTTCTGAAGTCTGCAAGGTGCATGTCGCTAACGCACCTGTTCGCAAATGCATGCGTTGTTCTGGAGGGGTCGCTTCTGCTCACGTGTTGCTCGTGCGCGTGGCCCGGCTGTCCTCAGTCTGGCTGCTTGTGGTCTGCTCCTCCTTTGCGTCCCTGCCTGCTGTGGTTCGCGCGTCTCCACTGCTCTCCTCTTCTGCGGGCTCTTTCTGCGGGCTCTCCGTGGGGCCCTCCGCGGGTTCTGTGCTGCTCGTTCCTCGTGGTCTGCTGCCGCGCGCAGACGGTCTGGCGGGCCGCGTTGTCCCGTTGCTTTTCCCAAGTCTCCTGGCATGTGAGTACAGTGAGTGTGCCGACCGCGGACGGATTAATCCCGGAGTCTGGACTGCGGGCTTGGTTTTTGCCCCGTACACTGGACTGCAGGCTTCGTTTTCACTTGTGTTTGAGCTAACTGAGGGGCAACGCATGTTAAATGGTATCAATATCCATCGTCTGAGGGATATAAGAGGAGCACGTGCATTAATTCAGATTCATGTTCTGCCACTTGCAGTAAAACCACGTTGGAAGCTTCATACTGTTGCTGCTGCTGCTTCATTTACTTTGACATCTCTCTTCCCTTTACATCTCTCTTTCTGAAACACTAAACAGCTACAACAATTTCTACTGCTGTGGCCTTGATACAGGATTATTGCTGTTATTATCTAAGGATGCTGCATCTGCTGCTGTTGCTACTGCTACTGCTGCAACCACTGCTGCAACTACTGCTGCTGCTACTGCTTCATTTACTTTGAC